GGCCTAAAGCAGTGGTTCTCACCATGGGCCACGTGTTCCACCCTGGAAGCAGGCTCCCGTCTGATGAGATCTGACTTCACTCAGAGCGAGGCTGGGCCCCTACGCAGGACTCCCACGTACAGCCAAGGCTGCAGGCCACTGGCCTGGTCAGTGAGCTGCTCGGGGTCTCCCGGCCCGAGTCTGGAGGTGGCATCGCAGGCACAGCTTGGGCACTCAGCCGCCCCCCACCCCAGGGTCCCCTTAGTCCTTCTTGGCCTGTGACCAGGGTCTCCACTCTCGGGCACAAATGGCTGTTGCAGCTCTGACCATAAAGGAAGGACTCAAATACAGTGAAGAAAGTGAGGTCAAAGGGCACAGGATTTAGCTCAGCAGCACGCCTACCTTGCAAGCACAAGGTCCTGAGTTGATCCCCAGTACCAAAAAAGAAAAAAAAGAAAGCGAGGTCTGTTGGGAGCAATGCTACATAATTCTAGGGAAAAATCATTTGAGTAGGCCTAGTTCTCCTGCCTACAGGGCAGCAATAACTCCAAGACATACTTCCATTTTGGCCTCAGGTCACAAGGGAGATCTCAATGATCCCATGATGCTGTAATCCTCCAGGACAAGACCACACCTGTGGGAGACACCCTGGGAGGAACCAAATCTTCATCTGTGTAGTTCCTGGGAGGAACTAAATCTTCATCTGCATAGTTCCTCATTGTTCTTAGATTTCCGCTGCCCCCACCCAGTCTTTTGTTACACCTTGTTCATCCCAATATGATACTGAAATCTACATTATTCATTTGTTACATTTGTTTCTTTGGATGTACTAAATAAAAGGTGCTGCAAGCTAGGGCTTCTTGTCTTTGCTGCCCAGAGCAGCACTGATCAGACCCAAAGCTCAGCTTCTTCTCAGTCTCATTTGTCTACCTTTCCTGTAATTCGCCGTGTGCTGCCGTGGCTCGCAGGAGACCAGGATTCACTGCAGAGGTTCTGGTAATGTCCCCTTCCCCTGTTCCATACAGAGGTCAAGCTGGGTGTGGTGGCGCATGCCTAGAATCCTAGCACTTGGGAGGCTGAGGCAGGAGGACTGCTGCCAGGCTGAACATAGCGAGACCCTGTCTCAGTCAGTCAATCAATCAAAACCATTTCCCCATGCTGGGGAGTGAAGAATAGAAATTGCCTACCACTAACTACAAATGCCACATTGGGGTTTTTCGTTGCCCATTGTAGGATACCCCCACTACCATTCTCCCCAGCCTCTCCAATGCTGGTGTCTTACACAGCTAGTGTACACTATGATAACCAAGAAACTGGCATGGATACAATCTGTAGAACTTGTCCATTTTTACCAGTACATGCTCACACCTCCTGTGTGTGTGTGTGTGTGTGCTCTTCTATCATGTGTGCAGCCTTGTGGAACCACTACCATTACCTACACACCCATCTATACCAGCATCAGGTGTTCCTCTTCCCATGCCCCTTCCTATCTTCGGCACTGGGGATTGAACCCACGGCCTTGCCGTGGAGCTATATCCTCAGCCCTTTACTTTTCATTTCGAGACAGGGTCTCAGTCACTAAGTGGCCCAGGCTGGGCTCGAACTTCCAATCCTCCTGCCTCAGCCTCCCAGAGTGTGGGGTTCACAGGTGGGTGCCACTAACCCAGCTCTGGCCACCCCTTTCCACCTGATCTTGGCCAGAAGGCTGAGAAGCGACTGGCCCCCTTTATCGCACCTCCTTCCATCTCCCTCTGTAACTCTGGAAACCACTGTCTGTTTTCCTTTTCTTTATGCTATTCACGCATGCTCTGAGTAGAGCGACGGAGTGAGCATCTTTTCGAGGCTGGTTTGGTCACTTAGCATCACTTCCTGGAGGTTAACCTGAGCTGTCCAACGCTGACAGCTGGACCTCAGGGTGGTGGCCACTAGTGAGGGACATCCGGGACTTTCCAGTTTCTGAGTGAGACGAGTTTGTCTCCGTGAGATAAATGTGTGAGCAGGAAGCCGCTGCAGCACCTCACTGCCCTGTCCAGTTTTGAGAGAAACCAAGCAAGCATCTTCTCCAGTACCTTCTGACACCACAGTCTGAAGAGTCTGGGTCCCACCCTGGCTGCCCTGAGACCCGTGCTGGCTGCTCAGATTGGATGCCGAGCGTCTTCCCTTGCGTTTCTTTGCTGTCTGGCCATCCGCTTAGTGAACAGCTGTGTGCATCAGAGCTCACTTTCTGGCTGGATTGTGTGGGGTTTTTTTTGTTTTGTTTTGTTTTGTTTTTTTGGTACCAGGGATCGAACTCGAGTCCTTGTGCTTGCAAGGCAGGCGGCGGAACCACTGAGTGGATTGTGTGGTTTTGGTTTTTCCTCCTTCAATGATGCATTTCAAGAGTTCTGCATATATTCTCGATAGTCCACTACTGCTTGTAATCAGCTGCTGTAACCCTTCACGGGGGAAATAAGGTCATGATGATGAGCCTCTATCTCATCCGAGCACGTTAATGCTCCTCCCTCTTCACTGACTAAACTCTGTATCAGCCCCCAGCCAGCCACCTTTCACTGCGCTTATCCTCATGCCACTGTCTTGCCTCCTGAGGCTCTGCAGTAAGATCTGGAACTGGAAAGCGTGGATCCTCCAATTTTTAAAAATTCTGCTTTTTCAGATTGTTTTGGCTATTCTAGGTCCCTAGAATTTCTCTATGAGTTTTAGGATCAGCTTGTCAATTTCTGCAAAAAAGCCAGCTGGGGTTTTGACAGAGATTGCACTGAATCTGTGAATCAGCTTTGGGAGTATGGTCACCTCAACAGTACTGTCAGCAAGGTGTGGTGGTGCACACCTGTAATCCCAGCACTCCGGAGGCTGAGGGAGAAGGATCGCCTGGAGTTTGAGGCCAGCCTGAGGTACACAGCAAGACCCTGTCTCAAAAGAAAAAACAAAACAAAACAGTACTGTCTTTTAGCTCATAACTGAAGCCTTATTCGTGAAAGGGTGGTCTTTTCCACAAATGGTTTTATGTATGTGTACACACACATACCTGAATATTTACATATACACCCACACACACGTAGGCTGAAATAAACCACTCAAGGATTACATCCTTAAGAATTACATACTTAGTACAATAAATTGAGGAAATGAAATGAATGTCTACAAACATGCTTTGCAAAATAGTATAAATAAACCTTCACTTTAGGATCCTGAAATTCAAATTAGTTCCTATGTATTCAGAATGAAACCTAATAACAAAGCAAGATGAGACGGGTAATAAATAGCACAATAAGAGTAGTTAACATTTGCATAAAACATTACTGGGTATTAGGAGCTAAGGGCTTTTATCTCCTTTTGTTATCTAACAACCCTATGACTTAGGCATCATTCTCCTCATTTACAGAAGAGGATGGAGGCTAGAAGCCCCCCAGGTTACCCAGCTGGGCAGTAGTGGGAGTGATACACAGTGCATCTGGGGCTGAGGGGCTGCTCCCCTCACCCCGTCCCACCCCCACCCTAAGGCTCACTACATGAGGCAGAGGTGAGAAAAGCAAAGACCTGAGCCTGTCTTGGAAAAGTCCAGAATTCCACAGCAGGATGCATGTGCACCAGTGACCTGCAGGAACTTTTCTTGGCCGCAGCTCACTGAAGGTTCTCACATTTGGACAGCATCTCCTACCTTCAATGACAGCGGAGTGGATTATGGGAAAGGACATGAGCATTAAGACCCAGCTGGCGCGATTCACACGGCTGTCAATCATGTCAATCATGCTCTGGAAGACCCAACAGAGGCGGCCCAAACCAACCCAGCCTTTGAAACCACTACCTCTTATGCCCTCACAAGCCTGCTCACTCTAAGCGTACCGTCACCCTAATAAACTGCTTTTTCCTTACTGTTGGGTGCTCGTAGCTCACAAAAACCTAGAAACCTGTCCTGGTCCATCAGCCACGGTAACTAGAGGGTCTTCAAGTTTGACTGCTATAAAGGTCTTTCAATACCAGCTATTAATTTTTAAAATCAGAAATATATTATTCCTAACCTAAAGCATCATGGAATAAGGAGTATCTTTGCATCTAAATTTTCAACATATTTATGTCTAAATTTTCAACACATTGTTGCTTTCAACTTACGAAGTATCTCACCTTTTACCTCACCCCACCCCATGCCTGACCTGTGGCACTGCATTCTATTCATCTCTGCCTGCAACAGCCAAATTCGGGGAAAAAGTATGCTGTGCTGGCTCAAAAGCAAAGAGTTAAATCCTTTCCCTGACTCTAACTACGCACCCTTGCTGGCCACTTGGCTGCCCAAATGAGACCATTTACTTTGGTAAAAAGTGTTTATCAAAGCCAGTGGTGAGGACAGAGGGGCCTCCTCTCCCAAAGCACGCTCTCAGTGCACACAGGGCTGCTGGGCTCTTCCAACTCGAGGAACAGTGGATCTGTTCAGCTGGTTCAGCCCAAGGCTCCCTCCCTGTGCCTCGACCTCCCAGGCCAGCATCGAAGCTTCTGCCATTCGTCTGGGTTGGGGGGGTGGGGGTCACACTTATGCCCTAGGCCCGCTGCTCTTCTTGAAAGGAGAACCTTGAACTCACTATGTAGGCCAGGCTGGCCATAGTGATCCTCCTGTCTCAGCCTCCCCAGTGCTGGGATCATAGAACTGCACCACCACACCCAGTTGAGAATCTCACTTTAAAGCTCCATCTTGGGGTGGAGGTTACGTTATCAAGACTTCACGAGGGCCGGGGATTTAGCTCAGTGGTTCCACCGTCTGCCTCGCAAGTGCAAGGACCTGAATTCAATCCCCCGTACCCAAAAAAAAAGACTTCAGGGACTCGCTCACAGAGCCGGGCCAAGGCTGCCAGGCAGCGTCTCCGAAGGCCGTGGTTCTTGAGAGCCTGGCCTCCAAGGAGCCCCGCTGTGCATAGCGTGTGGGACTGGGCTGCATGGTGAGCGGTGGGGTCACGGGACACAGAACATGCGTGTTCTAGAAACACTTCCACCCTGTGGACAGACAACATGGAGGTCATAGAAGCCACATATGGAAATGAGAACATTTTATTTATCTAAAAAACAACAACCCCCAGGCTATACAGACAACTGACGGCCATATAATGAAATTTCCAAAATGTACACACAAAGTCTCACCTATGGAATTATGTACAGGTTTAGGGCCCACATTGAGAAGAAGCGGGGGCCTCTGGTCTCCACTGGCAGAGGATGGAGTCTCTGCTAGCTCGGGAGGGGCTACAGCCGGTTCTTCCCTGGTCTTGACATAAACCAAACGAGGAAATTCCTAGTAGGTACTTCAGTGTGCAGGGGTGTAAGTCCCTGGTTTTGAATATTTTTGAAAATAAAATAATAATCAAGCCGGGACAGTGGCCCGGGAATAACCAGGATCACAATGGCTCTGCTCCACCCGAGGGCAGAGTAAGCACCAGATGACTGTTTTCACACATGTCCCTCCCGACACACTTCTTCTCCAGGGCTGGGATCCAGCTCAGGGCCTCTCGTGCACTAAGCTGCACCTCCTGCCCGCTACATTATCTATAAACACAAGAAGCTATCACTTAGCTCTTCAGAAGTCTCGTGCCCTAACACATACAATAAAGGAGGAGAAAAAGTTCAGATTCCCCCAAGAGGAGCAAAAATGTCATCGCTTTCCTCAGTCACTTCTGCTCTTCACTCCTGCTTAAAAGCAAAGGCTGACAGCTTCTGATTAGCAGAAAGATCAAAAGGCTTTTGCTTTTTGGGCAAATTCAGATTCTCCTCTGCTGCTTCCTTGTGGCTTTCTTTGTCGTGACCTTCATCTTCCACACGTTTCCGCTTCTTTGCTTCAATTCCGGCACCTGCAGCTTCTCCCTTGGCCTTGTTAGTCCACCCCTTGGTGAAAACAGTAGGAGGAAAAGAAAAGATATTTTAAGTGACAACAAAAAATTGGATGGAAATGATTACATTCCAGGTAGCACTCTTACATATAAAATAGATTAATCAGCATCTGAATTGTTAAGCTAATTATTAAGGGTTCTAATTACAAGCAGATCTTTCTTTGGGAAAAATATTTGCAAACTATTGGACAAAGGTTTGATGTTCAGAATATTTAAGGAACTTAGAAAATTCCATAGCACAAAAACAACTCAGTTAAAGAATGGGCAATACATTCTAAATACATCTTCAAAGACACACAAGGGGCCACAGGCACTGAAGAAATGCCCAAAATCAGTAATCACCAAGGAAATGCAGGTCAAAAGCACACTGAGCGGGTGGGGGATGTAGCTTAGTGGGTGCCACCGCCTGCTTCGCAAGAGCAAAGTCCTGAGTTCCCCGGTACCAATATAAAAAAAAGCACACTGAGCTATCACCATATGCTGTAAGAATAGGCATTAGCAAAAAGAGCAATGAACCAACGTCCCTGTGTCCTGGGGGTGTAGGCAGAGGGGGCACGCACACTGCTGCTGGGAGTGTCCATGAGGGCAGTCAGCATAGCTGGGACCAGAAACTGCGGGCTCCCCAGGAAATGCAGCCCCAGACCAGGATGGCTGACGATGCCCCCAGACCCACGCATGGGCACATCCAGAGACCTCCGTTCTGGGAGAGAACCCACACTCCCAACAGGCGAGGAGGAGCAAGCACGCACTGACGGATAAGTGGATAAAACAATGAAATACAACACTCTCCCACTGTCATACTGTCAACTGCACTGCAGAGACAATGAAACCCCTGGTCACTTAGGACAACATGAGGAACTGGAGAGCATGTGAAGTGAAAGAAGCCAGGAGGATAACATGGCATGATTGCACTCATTTGGAATCTAAAAAGTGTGACCGGGCTGGAGACATAGCTCAGAGGCAGAACTTGTGCCTAGCATGCACGAGGCCCTGAGTGCGACCCCCAACACTGCATAAATACGTAAAAATGAAAAGTTATGCTGGGTACAGTGGCACACGCTTGTAACCACAGCACCTGGGAGGCTGAGGCGGGAGGATCACAGCAGGCTTGTAGCCAGCCTGGGCTACCTCATGAGTTCAAGTCCAACCTCAACTACATAGCAAGGCCCTGTCTTGAAAAACAAAAACAAGTTGATCTCACAGGCTGAGAGCAGAATGGCAGTTACCAAGGCTGGGGGACGAGAGGAAGGTGAGCAGTGGGTACCCACTATGAAGTGCTGGCGCGCTTCTGCACAGTAGTGCAGCTGCGAAACTGTGAGCTTGGGAGAGCGAGAAGGGGTGGGAAGCTTTCACCATGAAGAAGCAGTGAATGTCTGCACAGACAGGTGCAGTACATCTCAATCCCATTGGAAAGGTACACAACTGAAGGGTACTGAAACCTAACATGGTACCCAGTTAATACGCACGATTCTTATGCAGCAGTTAAATATCTAAAACACTTCTAAAAACATGAAATCTTTTATCCTTAATTCCAGAGCATGCTAAAAAACTGACGTTCTATTTCTATATTTCAGTCTAAACTCAGCTTGTAATTATTCATATTAAGTACAAAATATTATAAATGCAGGAACTTTTTGAGATAATTGTAGGGTGTTTTTTTTTTTCAATACTGGAAACTGAACCTAGAGCCCTGGCATTGAGCTACAGACCATTTTTACTTATTTATACTATTTTGATACGGGCTCTTGCTAAGTTGCCCAGGCTGGTTAAGAACTTGAGGTCCTTCTGCCCCAGCCTCCCAGAGTGCTGGGATTACAGGTGTGCACCACCACATCTGGCTGACACTTAATTTTATGCATTCAAAACCACATCCACAGGCTGGGGATGTGCCTGAGTTCAAGCCCTGTCTTTCTTCTTTATTCACTCAGATGCCAATGTATCTAATTCTGCAGAATCTTTATTCCCTTTAGAAAAATTGACAAAAAGGCAGGAAACACAAACTTGATGAACAACTTGTAAGTGGGTTGGGAGTGGTCAGGCCAGATTCTAACTTCATTATTCAAGACCCATGGCAAATGGCTGGGTCGCTGCAGAGGTGGCAGAGGTGACACCTGGATGCCACACAGGACCCCAACTTCCCAAGCACTCCCCCCCCCAGTATGGACAGTATGGCCTGCTCTCCATGGGAAAGGTGCGGACAGAACATGACACCCCCCTTGTCCCCACAAAAGAGTGTTCTCGGGCAAGCAGACAGCTTTTTAAAATTCCACTTGCCAGGACCGTAATGTAGTAGTTCAAAGACAACGATTAGCACCATTTTTTTCTTTGGTGCCAGGGATTGAACTCAGGTCCTTGCGCTTGCGCAACAGGCAGTGGGCACCACTGAGCTAAATCCCCGGCCCTGATTAACACCATTTTTGCTTTTGATTTACAACTAATGGATCTTTTCTTGGAGGCATTTCCCAAACTACGAACATGTGGGGACTTATACAAATTTAAATACTTAACTGCCCCAAAATTAAGCATCGGCTTTCTGTAGTAATTATTACAGATCCACATGTTGGAAAATGACATTTTCGTTTTTTAATTTCCTCGCCACCAAGAGCTTTATGCGGTATTCAATTTTCTAAAAATAGATAAAGGCATTTCTATGAAACGTTTTTAAGCCTGGAAAATTCACTAAGATCTTAATCTCTGCACAATTATCCTTACCTTCCTTTCTTCAGCAGACAGAACTCTAAAGCGTATCATTCCTTCTTTTATTATATCTGCTTCATCTGAAAAGTCAGGATTGTCAGACAAAATGTTACTTCTATTTTCTTCCAACCACATTTGGAACCCAGTCTTTGGCCTAAAATAGCAATTGTATGAAAAAATTTATGGTCAGTACATAGCTTACAGAGTTTTATGGTCTGAAACAGTCTCACTACGTGGCCCAGGCTGGCCTCGAACCTGCAGTTTTCCTTCCTCAGCCTCCCAAGTGCTGATATTACAGACATGTATCACCACCTGGTCTTACCGTTTTACGTCAGTTGTGAGGTCTTCACATTCCTACACAGAGGAAGGGAACCCATCACCGTGAATACTGTATCACTGTGAGTGTCCAGGGACTGCAGGACTGATGAACGGAACAGAGGAGCCAATCTGGAGGGTCACTCGCGGTCGTGTCCTCTGAGTGCAGGGCCATGATGGCTCCAGGCCCCCATCCCAATCTCAACCAGGGCCCTGTCATCCATCCCCTCCTCATCCTGCTCTCTTGGTGACCTGGCGCGGATGTGGCCCAGCTGTGGATTCTCTCCGGACCGCTGGTTGTGAGTGGAGGTCAGCAGGGACCCTCACAGTTTCTGGCAGGGCCACTGCAGGGATCCTGAGGGCTGTGTGCAACTATTGGCTGACCTACTCGCAGTGGGCTGGGACGTGCGAGCATGAGGGTCTCCACTGAAGACAAGGAAAGGAGCGGTTCACTGCAGGGACTCAGAAGGCAGGAGCCAGGCTGAGGGTCCCCAAATTTACCCACCGATACTGCCTTTCTCTACGCCGAAGCTGCCCACAGCCTAAATAATAAGTTAAAAAACACAACAAAGATGCTAGGGAAAATGTGTGTGGCAAAATTTTAAATGAGACCTGGGTGTGGTGGTGCACACTTGTAATGCCAGCACTAGGGAGGCTAAGGCAGAAGGATCACTGAGAGTTTGAGGCCAGCCTGTGGTACACAGCAAGTCCTTGTCTCAAAAAACAAACAAAAAGTGTTTAACTGCAAACAAAAATACAGGATATAAAATTGGATTTCTAATACAAACCTCATCAAGTATAAAAGCTCAAATTCACTACAAAGCATTAGAAGGAAAGGACCACCTCTATAAAACAGTAAAATCGAGGGCTGGGGATCTAGCTCAGAGGTTCCACTGCCTGCCTCACAAGTGCAAGGTTCCGAGTTCGATCCCCAGTACCAAAAAAAAAACAAACCAGTAAAATTGACTTGTTTTTGTCTAAACTTTTAAACTGGTAGAACAAGTCATTAAAAAATATTTAGAGTATGACTATAACCCCATGCCCGATGTTTGAAAATACAAATTTTAAGTAATCTTAATTTAATCATTCCCAGAAAAATATTACAAACAAAAATCAATGCTAAACAAAAGTTCTTGAATTTCTAGACATTAGAAGACTAATTTTAATCAAATTTGGGCCAACATTACAAGTCTGACTAATAGCATGCAATCTTCTGCATCTAAACAGCTATTTTTCAAAGGAAAATAAAACTGAGTTTTTCCTTCTGATTCAGTACATCAACATCTGTGACAAAATATCTGATTAAATATGGTAATTTCTTAGAGATTTCAAAAGGTATGTTCTCCATAGAGGCAACTGAGTACGAAAAGCGGAATATGAAAAGCAGAATTATTAATCTTCTTAAATAAAAGTTTTAGTTTAAGATATAAATCAAATTTAGAATGAAATAGGAAACAACCACAATTTAAAACCACAGCTATTCTCTTCTGTTCCAATTAAACTAGTTAAGAAAATGAGATATTCAATGGTAAAAGAAAATGGTGACTTTTTAAATTTAATCGTTGTATCTACGATACGACCAAGAAATTCAGTAAGCTAGGTGTGGTGGTGTGTGCCTGTAATCCTAGCTGTGAGGGAGGTGGAGGCAGGACGGTCACCTGGACTCAGGAGTTTGAGGCCAGTCTGGAGACACAGTGAGACCCCATCTCAAAAAAAAAGGAAAGGAAGGAAAGAAAAGAAGAGAGAAGGGAAGAAGGGAGGGAAGTAGCAGGCTTAAAACATTCTGTGTTGGTGGAGATACATAAAATGATACAACATCAATATAAAACAACGTGATGATAACTAGCAGAATTAGAAGTGCATAATAATTGAAACCGTAAAGGAATACAAGATACAGATACATAAAAATAATATTATATATATATTTTGTTGTTGTGTGTGACAGGGTCTTGTTATGTAGTCCATGCTGGCCTTGAAATCATTATGTAGCCCAGGCTGGACTCAAACTCTTGGTCATCTTCCTGCTTCAGCCTCCCGTGTACACGTTATGTGCCACCACACTTGGCTGTCATATATATTTTTTACCTTTTGCTGTTGTCCCGTGTAACTATACTTTGTTTTTTTGGTATTTTGAGTCTTACTGTGTAGTTCAGGCTAGCCTTGACCTCACAGTGATCCTCCTGCCTCAGCCTCCCAAGCACTAAGATTACTGGCATGTGCCACCGTGCCCAGCTTATACTATTAAAAACAAAACTGAATTTGTAAAATGCAGCGTCCCAATGAAAGGTGGCCACAACTGCAGACATATTTAACCAGCGCTGTGGCTTCCTGGGTGCTATCGTGCTCAGATGCCCAGCGCCCTCGCTGTCTTATACGCAGTGTCGTACCCAGGAAGCAGACCCAGCCCTGCAGCAGGGAGCCCGGCCTGCCACTGACCTCGGGGTCTCAGCATGTGGAGAGCACACAGCGGGGGCTTCAGGGGATGCATCTTTAGGGTTTTCCTCTTTCACTCCCTCGCTCTTATTGGCCTGAGAAGTTCTTTTCTGGAAATAGGATGCTGCAGATGCCTAGAAAAACACATTTAGTAGTGCTATATCAAATAGAATTTGTCACAAGCAAATTCTGACATATGCAAAGAAACATTTACAATTATTTAGAATTTGTATTCCAACAAGCAAAGTTTTAATCTCTCAGTTGAAAATAAAAACTGTGTAAGTAAGGGCTGGGGATTTAGCTCAGTGGCACCGTGCCTGCCTCACAAGTGCAAGGTCCTGAGTTCAATCCCCGGTACCAAAAAAAACCCCCAAAACCCCTATATAAATAAACTCTTTTTTTTTTTTGGTACCAGGGATCAAACTTGGGTCCCTGCGCTTGCACAGCAGGCGGCAAAACCACTGAGCTAAATCCCCGGCCCATAAATAAACTCTTTAAGAGAGTCTGTCTATAGTAGTAATAAAGTTCTTGCTGTTTAAAAAAAAAGAAAAAGAAAAAGAAAACAAGTTGGGTCACACAAAACCTGAAAGCACCGTGCGTCACATTCTGTGTTTCTAAGTGGGTACAATGGTGGAAAATGGTGAAGATAAGTAATAAATCTATTTAATAACAAACGTGGGGTGAAACACAGAGGATGGTGGACAAATTCAGAAAACAGAGCAAGGGCTGAGTACTGTAACCACCTACAGTAGACAAGGCTGCGCCACACCATCTGGGAGGTTTTATAATGAATGGAGGGACGCCGAGGCTCTGAGGACTGACGGAGACACACAGATGGAGACACGGAGACACATGGAGACACACAGAGACACACACACACACACGTGTGCGCGCGCAACTCTGGGGCAGAACCCTATCAGAGGCCATTCCAGAGCTGGACAATCAGCTTGGAAGCGGTGGAGCCCCTGCCGTGCCCGGCAGTGTGGGCGCTGGGACGCTACCTGCTTAGACTTGGGCTTGGGCATCAGGGGCTTGATCACGGGTGACCTCTCACTGCCGGCTGCTCGGCCTGGGGCAGTGGGCTTCCAGGATGACTTGCTCATACTGTCTAAAATATTCATTGAACGTGATGAGTTCTCAGACAGGGCTGGCTCTTTGGAATTGGCTAATACCTAAGAGCAAACCTGGGTTAGCATTTTATGTTAAAGAAGGAAACAAAAGTCTCAACACATTCATTTTTCCTTTAAATTTGTCACAATTGTATCGTGGTCTCATCCTTGGAAATGACATGTAGTTACCATCCACAGTAAGACCAAGTCTATATTCTCAAATACCACAGCCCTGAAGCTGAAGCATGGCCCTAAGCCACCAGTGCTTAGAAGAGAAGGTGAAAAGAACCCTTGGCCCAAGGGTGAACTGGTGGCTCTTGCTTTCCTTTAAACTGTCCGGCTCCAGGGAGGCATTGGAACACTGCTTGCTATGGTCGTGTATTTAAATTATACAAAACATCGCTGGAAAGTTTACCTTGAAGGGGTTTACTCGTCCTTGGTTGCTAGGAGTAACTGCACCTTTCACAAAAAAGAAATTCTTACTTAACACTAGTGGCAAAAAGCAGACGACTTCTAACTTCTATAATACTAGGTCGAATACTTTCATCTGGGCCGGGGATTTAGCTCAGTGGTTTCACTGCCTGCTATGGAAGCGCAAAGACCCAAGTTTGATCCCCAGTACCAAAAAAAAAAGAAAAAAAGAATACTTTCATCTATATACAGTATATGAAAACAAGGGCACACTGTAACTTTACACTTTTATTAACAATACAGATGACTTCCTTCCTATTGCAAGACAAAACAACATAAGGTGGGAGCTCTCCCTACCTGCTACTGTGAAACACACCCACTTCCTCCTCTTCTGGATGCCAACCATTGGGGATCCCCAGGCCTATGCTTGTTTTTCTCCACTAGCCACACACCCTCCCAGCGTCTGCTCACCGTGGCCATGGTTTAAGCTACACCAGTGATTTGAACTTCACATCTCTCAGCCAGACCACCTTCCCAGCTCCCGATCCAAATGTCTCCGGGATGCTCCACTTAGCTCACGGTGATCCCTCAGCTTTCTACCTCAGCCTGTGGCACTCTAGTGCCCTAGAAACTGGGAGTCCTTCACACTCTGAACTCTGGCTCTGGGCCCGGAAACGTTCACGACTCTCCCACCCTTGCCCCTGCCTCGGCCCCCACCACTGCTCAATCGCATGCAGACAGCTTCATGGGCTTCTTGTAGCCGGAATGAAGACCACACCCTCAGCTGCTGCTCTGCCACCAGCCCATCCTCCTCGCCCGGAAGTGCTCCTCACAGCACCCTAATCCTCACACGGGCCTGGCCTCTGCTCCCCCTCTGCTGCCTGGCTGCCTTGTTCATCTTCCGGTCTCTGCCGCAGACAGCCACGGGGCCTTCCTTGGGGTCCCCACCATCCTCCACCACTGCTGAGACCATATGCTCTTTTAACACTATACACATGCTTTTCAAGTTAGTATTTATCTAAGTAACATTTGTACTCAACTTTTTCCTTTTTTTTGGTACCAGGGATTGAACTTGGGACCTTATGCTTGTGTGGCAGGCAGTGGAACCACTGAGCTAAATTCCCGGCCCTGTACTCGATTTTTAAAGGAATATCAAAGTAATACACAGACACAGTTTTAACAGTCAGTACACCCTAGGGATTATGTAAAAACAAATAGGGACCAGGGATTTAGCTCCGTGGTTCTGCCGCCTGCCTCGCAAGCACAAGGTTCTGAGTTCGATCCCCAGTACCAAAAAATAGATAAATAAATAAATAAAATAAAAAACAAACAGAACAAAACAAAAACCCCAGAGCAGGGGATTTAGTTCAGTGGCACTACGCCTGCTTGGCAAGCACAAGATCCTGAGTTCAATCCCTGGTACTGGGAAAAAAAAACTCCAAAAAACAAAAAACCAAAATCCTCAGCAGTCCTCTACTCTAACTTTTTGTCTCCAATCTCACTTCCCAAAATCAACTACTTCCAACTCCTTTTCACTGTTTTTCCAGCACCCTGAATGTTTCTGTGGTGACACCCGTATCTGTCCACGACATGTCTCCCCAGCAGGGCTAAAATCACACTAAGGCAAGGACAAACATACATGTGTACTTGAGTTCTGCATCTCTATCCAACAAAATGCCGGACATACGATGGCATTCAATAAATATGAGTTCAATGATCCACTTCACAAGTTACATCTCCGATAAAAATAAAACAAGTCCCCAAGGGGAAAGTGTATTTAAGCAGATAAATCACTTTAAAACTACGTGCAAAACTTTCTTGAGATTACAAATTTATAAGTATTTCTCACCTGACTTAATGGCTGGCACATCAGAGGAATCTGCACTTTTGGAAAATGAGTTCTGTCCTAGATGTAATTAATAAAAATAATTCAATGTAAATGATGAAAGTAAAGTCATTCTTATTATCCAATGGCTTGAAAAGGCAGGGGAACTCGTATCCCTTTGCCAGGACAATGCGGACAGCCACAGTCATGACATTTCCCATCTTCTGTTCCTTGCACACGTATCTCACCATGCTCATGGGGTCTGGGATTTTCTTCTGTCTCATCAGCTTCTCCTCTGTTCCTCACATCTTCTTCCACCTGACTACGAAGCCTCGGCTGGCTCCACTCTGTGGCAGTACCACTGTAACTACAGACAACAGCTCAATTCCATGAGGGGCTACAGAAATACTAACTTAATATTCGGAATGTTAAAGGAAAACTCAACTGCACTTTTTTACCCAGCATTCAGCTTCTGTCTGAAATCCTCTTCTTCCTCTTCCTCTGCCTCGGATGCTGCCAATTCAGCTGCCTTCTCTACAGCAAGTTCACTAAGTTTTTGGGCCAATATTAATTTCCGAGAGCGAGAAGCATATTTAATGGCTAAACTTACAGCATTTTGAGTCATTAGATCTGCAAGTTCCACACAACGGAATTCTCGCTCCAGTTTACAAGAAAGCTAAACCAAAAAGGAAAAACAAAACACCTCAAATTATGTTCAGTAAAAGCTTTTCAAAAACAGTACTGGTAAAAGAGAAAACAGCTTCCTAGATACTGTATCACATCAATTCTAAGATGTACAATTTTACACATTAACATTTCTGCATGCTGCCTGCCTCGAAAATGCAAGGTCCCGAGTTCAATCCCCAGTACCAAAAAAAAACAAAACCCAAAACATTTCTGCAATTGGAGAGCATCTTACAATTAAAGCTGGGTCAGCTTGGCAGCATTTTTTTGTTTTAGTGGCTTAAGTGAAGAAAATAACAGTGTATGTTACAATCAATAGTTGCTTCAATGCAATGTTCTATGACACATCATTTTAAGTTTTCAGTTTACAAAGAGAGTAAGGAGCTCTTTAAAAAGTCAAATGTTCTTTTTTTTTGGTATTTTGGAGACAGGGCCTCCCTATGTAGTCCAGGCTGGCCTCAAAACTCATGGCATCCTCCTGCCTCAACCTCCCACATGCTAGGATTACAGGCATGCATCACCACGCCTGGCTCAAATGTGGTTCTTCTAAATTTGTTTTCCAGCTGCCACCCACCCTGACAGGGTAGAAAATTTAAGACACAAATTGTAAAAAAGTCAGTTACTACCGTGAGAACTGGCACACAAATGGGTGAACCAGGGTGAGAAGTAGATTTGCCCTTAAATGTTTAAGTGTGACTATGATCTTCGACCACCAGGAGAAGATATCCAACTTCCAAGCGAACAGCTCCATTCCTTTAACATGTCTTAGAAAACACCACCATGTGGTCTAATTTTTGGCAACTCGGAGGTGACTCCAGTTCACAGTGAGGAAGGCTGGTATCTGAAGACCACGAGGGTCTCGTGATTCAGAGCAGGAGGAGTAGTCTGTTACTTAGCCCCCAGCACAGGAGCTGCAGATGATCCTGCCCTGAGGTCCTTCTCGAGATTTCCAGGACCACCTGTGCCCACAGTGCTCCTCAACCGGGGGAGCTGTGTCTGTCTCGGGGGTGCTTGGAGAGGAAAGAGGGTGATGCGGCTGAAGGAAGACACGGTCACTGCCCTCAAAGGGTGACAGTCAAGGGCAGGCTGAACACAGAACAGGAGCGACTAACTCATGCGAGGACATGAACACAGGACTCGGAAGAGTCCTTGCTCCAAAGATAAATGGAACTCAGCATCCAAGGTACCAAGGCTGGCCGCTGGCTGGAGACAGATTGTTACCACAGGTGGTTATCTAACTGGAGGAGGATGACAAAAAGCAGGTGTCTCTGCAGCAGTGGCCGGCCCTGGAGATGTGGATCAGCGCCAGCCGAGCTGCAGCCTGTGATGGGCCGAGCCTGAGCAGCGGCTCCCACGTCAGGCACACAGGCAGCTTCGAACAGACCAGGGCCACAGCCAGGGAGGCAGCACCGGGCTTTATTTCTGTTGGTCTCAGCTACAAGGTGGTATTTTAAGTATTTTAACAGCAACATCAAGTAGAAAACAGAACTTTTAGGAAGGAAAAATATGATGAGATAAAACTTAAAGACTCCCAGGGCCGGGGCTGTAGCTCAGTGGCACCGCACCTGCCTGCAAGCGCAAGGGCCTGAGTTCAAATTCCCAGTACCAAGGAAATCAAAACAAAACAAAAAACATAACTTAAGACTCCCAGGTGCTTATTCACATATCTTTCTTATGCAGATGCACAATCTATATAGAAAACATTTAACTTTAATTTTTTCAGTGTACTTATTTTACTTACTGCAAGCATTTTCATTAAAAGCTCCTGTTGCTCTTTTACTGCTTGATTTTTAGTGCTCTCATCATATTCATAACCATTCTTGGCTAAGTAATCCAGGTGGTTGTGAAATATAACTGAACGCCAAAACTGCTCCTATAAAAACGGATAAAAATGCTCAGAGCCAAACATTACCTAACACCAGGCAAGTATCAAATATTTACCTTCAGATTCAAGTTTAAGAATGCTTTCTGAAATCCTCTTTTCTATAAGTTTAATTTACAATTCAAATTCCGGTGTGATATTCTGGCTTGGGTCTAACTTCTATCCTTAAAAAAAGGTAGGTGTGTGTGTGTGTGTGTGTGTATGTGTACACATAGTGCTTGGTTCCTAGCTATTATAGTTAATGCTCAGAGAGCTTGGTAAATTAGCATTTTAAGAAGATGACCTGCTTCTTATTTAGAGTAACTGCCAAATTTCAAATGACTTTTTATATCCCAGGGCTAGGATGAGCCAGGCGTTTTATGTCACACAATGTACGAGGACCTGCCAGACCCTGGGCAGGTGGCCTTGCCTCAATAAGGCCCTGACAGCCAACAACAGAATAACAAATACTCAACACTGGGCATTGTGATGACTGTAATGACAGCGCCACCGTAAGACTCTCACGTACCTCCATCTGTCCTTTCTCTGTTGCAATCTGACAGTAAGGAAGCTTAAAGGACAACACAGCCACCGCAGGGCGTGGAAGGGTGGGAGGAAACCGAGAGCCTTTACAAGGGATGCACCTGTCAGGAAAAAAAATCCCACCATAAAAACTTTCTGCAATGTCACAAAACTGCTAATAATCAACACTTTCAAAAGTTAGTAAGTAGGGGGTCAGGGATTTAACTCAGTAGTTCTGGCACCTGCCTTGAAAGCACAAGGACCCGAGTTAGCCTAACTGGGTATAAAGATGAAATCTCCATGCGCTTTAGGTATTTCCAAATTCCCTTCTCATCTTAGCTTTATTAAATAACCATCATTAAAAGTGGAATTGGCCCTCTTCAGGCTTTCCTTAGCAACTTTCCTTTCCAATACTACCTATCTTGCTAAGCTGTGCTTTAAACACTTGCCATGGGGTTGTTACCAAGTAGCCGACGCCAGGTTACAATGCCACACTGCACCTTCACTTTCACTCAGTGCAGTGGGTTTGGAAACCTTGGGACAGATGGTACTGTGTGGTAAGACAAGAAGGTGACATGACTGTGATTATTAGGTATCGGGGAGAGTGGAGCAGTATCTGGTATCGAGAGGAAGCTTCTCATCTATACCGCTCTGCTAAATCAAAGGTTGTCTAATAGGGCAACAGTGTAGATTTGTCTATAAGTTTTTGCTGACCAGGCTAAGACATTAAAGGAGACCCATCGTGAAAAGAACTTAGGCAATTTAATTAAAAAGTATCTGTTAACTGCAGAAAGGTGCATGTATAACACACATACATACACACACCTATCTGTAGAAACAATACTCAACTTAAGCACTCCAAACGACTAAGAGGAAACTACTAGAAAACAGTAAATGCACACTGTAGGTACCATGGACAATTTTCTTGTTTTCCTAAAGTTACTTTATAAACAATGCTTCTAACATCTGTCCATGTCATTCACAGTGCAGCTTTTTAGTCAGGGCTGAAGCCAAGGCACTCCTGATGGTAAATACTCAGAAGAAAGCAGGGCCATGGGTTTCCTCATGAACAGCTCCTACTATTAAATGCCTACTAGAGGAATTAAGAAGTGCAATACCGGGCTGGAGATTTAGCTCAGTGGTTCCCCTGCCTGCCTTGGAAGCCCAAGGACCCAAGTTTGATCCCCGGTACCAAAAAAAAAAAAAGAAAGAAAAAGAAAACGAAAAAAAAGAAGTGCAATACCAGAGGTTTTTCAAACCAAACAGATGGAAACACCTTTCCTTTTTTTGGTACTGGGGATCGAACTTGGGACCTTTCGCTTTCGAGGCAGACAGGGGAACCAACTGAGCTAAATCCCCACCCCTCAGAGTTCCAATTTTATTGAACATGCATCTTATCTTCTTTCTTCCCTTTCCCTTGCCTGGTCTTATAGAAACCCGCAGTCAGCACAGAGTTCGAGGTAGCAGTGAGAAAAAGATCTTGCGGAGACTGCCAGGCACCAGACTCTCAGCCACCATGGTTAATGCTCAGACACAGGAGGAAAGGCAGCAGATGTGTACACAAAGGCAAGCACAGTCACATCCATCACACACGCACGAACAAATGCGGACCACTGATTTCTGTCCAAACAGTATTTTTTTCTGCATCTCATGTTTAAAAAAATTTTACAATTCAAATACTTTATTGATTTATTCATAGCAAACAATTATCACAAAGAAAAAGGAGAAAGTGATTAGGATCTTGTTAACAGTCACTTTGTGTTTTTTTTTTTTAGATGGGGGAGGCGGAGGCAGGAGGATCACAAGTTTGAGCCCAACCTGCGCAACTTAGTAAGACCTTGTCTCAAAATAAAAAATAAAAAAGGGCTGGGAATGCAGCTCAGGGCAAAGGCCCTGGGTTCAATCCACAATGCCCTGACTGCTGCCCCTAAACCAAAACTTCACCTAAAAAAGACTTTACCTCTGTTAAATATCCCCCTCATGGAGGAACTAGAGGAGAAAAGAAACATTCTGACTGCTGGCTGGTGGGGTTTTGCCTACTATGAATGAGTTTCCTTGAAACTATGTCCCTAAACCATTTGGAGGAAGAAATGTGAAAAAAATAAACCACAGCTTCTACAAAGACAGAAGTGCTGTCCTTCAATTCTTCGTATGAAGAGGTGAAAATATAGCAAACTGCAGAAGGCCAGGGCCCATGTCAGAGGGGCCTCCAGTCAGCCAGTCTGGCCTTCTCTTGCACTGGGCAGGGCTCTGATCCCACCCCCACCAGGGCACTGTGCAGAGCGCACGTGACTACACAAGCTCTCCTTGCAGCCCCAAGCTCCGATCCATCTGTGCACAGCACAGAACTGTGGCAAACCCTTGTGAGATCTACTTTTCATGCTCATTAGAACCCTTCAATTTTTAAAAACTAAAGAGAAAAGGAAGTTTGCTGTTTACAGAGAGCAAATTAGACTCTAGCACAGCAAAATCAGTTCACTCGGTTATGAATTAACTAGTAGTGACCATGAAAACATCATCAGTGGAAACTATAAAGGTAGATTTGCTAACTAAAGTCAATTCAAAGGGGGTAGGGATGATACCTCTACAAATAGGTTCTTAAATTCATAATTAAAGAAAGGTAGGCCGCGGATTTAACTCGGTGGTTCCCGTGCCTGCCTCGCAAGCACAAGGTCCCAAGTTCGATCCCTGGTACCAAAAAGGAGGGAAGGAAGAAAGGAAGGGAGGAAGGGAGGAATTTTTGGGCTGGGGATTTAGCTCAGTAGCACTGTGTCTGCCTCACAAGGGCAAGGTCCTGAGTTCGATCCCTGGTACAGAAAGAAAAAAAAAAGGGGGGGGCCGGGTATTTAGCTCAGTGGTTTCGCTGCCTGCTGCGCAAGCGCAAGGACCCAAGTTCGATCCCCGGTACCAAAAAAAAAAACAAAAAAAAGGTATTTTGCCTTAATGAATGAATTTCTAAAATATAAACATATATATACATATATATATATTTTGAGACAGGGTCTTGCTTTGTAGTTCAGGCTGAACTCACTATGTAGCTCAGGCTGGCCTTGAACTCATGGCGTTCCTCCTGGCTCAGCCTCCCGAGTGCTAGGATTACAGGGATGTGCTACCACGCCCAGCTCTGTAAAAAATATTTTAACAAAATGTAACCTCTTTCCTTGTAAAAGATCCCTGAACAAAATAAAGGGATTATTACTGCTCAACTGGGTTAGAAAAAATATTTTAAAAGACCAAAGAAACTTGAAATGCAAGGTTAAGCACTTTAAGGACAGTAAAAAACCCACAATTCTCATAACAGCTAATGTTCAATTAACGCCAAGTGCTAAGTTCTGCCTCACGCACATCCTACATTTACAGTAACTCGCTTCCTCTTCACGGGGATTCGGATGGATGGGCACGTTTTGGTTTTGGGGAGGAAAAGCGGCCCAGGGGTCTAAGCAGCAGAGCTGGCCACACAGTGAGCCGGTCAGCCTGGTCACTGCTGTAGGCAGTGTGGTGCCTGCCACCAGGCTGGCCAGCCTCTCCACAGGAGTAGCTGGCTGCTGCCCTGACCACCATCACCAAGAGCAAACAGAAGCAGCACAAATTAAACAAGCACAGGATGGACACCTCGCTAGCAAAGACAGGTGAGTCGCATACACACAGCTGAGGCCACGGATGGGGCTGCAGGAGTTGCCTCCCTGGCCTTTCCTGTGTAGGAGGGAAAAATCAGTCCTCTCTGCAGGCCTCAAGACACGAGCAAAGCTGGTACAGAAAGTGCAGCAGGCTGCACTGAGCAGTGTGATTTCCAATCTCTGAAAACTACTCAGGTTTATTTTCCAGAATAAAGCCAGAAAAAAAGGCAAACATCCTGAGATCAACCAGCTTATCTCGGCAGACACAAATAAGCAGGCTCTCATAAACCAACTTCTAGCACTGCTCAGTGTTTGTCTGCATAAGGCTTCCTTCTCTTGCGACAGACTGTTCCTGCAGGAAGATACCTTTATTCCTTCAATGAACTTGTGAACTCCACTCCCATATTCTTTTTAATACAGAAAATGCAGGTTTGGGGCCTCAATCGAGCTGTGTGATTTCAGACAAGCTATTCCCCCTTTTTGAACCTCTTTGTGATACGGAGGAAGTGAGGACAAAGGCTGATGTGCAGCGGGCTCAGGATGGACCCAAAGGGAGAGCGGTCACCACTCCTTTGCCCCTGTGGGGCTGCTGAGCAACTGCTCAGGGCCAGGAATTTGCTGAACTACCATGAGCGGCTCACAGGCTGGACACCAGATATTTCCACTTTACATACTGAGAATTTCATCATGTATGGCGATAATGTGATTTATAAATACAAACTTGTATTAAAATACAACTTTAGGTCTGTAAAAGCTACTGTTATTATGAACATGACATTAAATGTAGAACTACTATCATTCGGAAGTTGTGAAATATTTAAATAGGCTTTTGTATTTATCACTGGGCTAGATCATTTATATAATCCTTCCACATCTAAATGCTGTTCAGAATCCATTATTTCTTTACCCACGTTGACTTTAACAGTTAAATGTTACCAGCTATAGTTATTATGTCTTTTTGTTTTTTGAGACTGGGTCTCCTTATGTAGTTCAGTTAGTTCAGGCTGGCCTTGAACTCCTGGTGATCCTCCTGCCTCCATTCATCAGTTGATGAACATTTGCACTGTTTCCACTTTTGAGCTATTAAGAATAAATCTGCCAGGGCTGGGGATTTAGTTCAGTGGTTCTGCCACCTGCCTCGCAAGTGCAAGGTCCCAAGTTTGATCCCCAGTACCAAAAAACAAAATAAAAAACAAAGAATATATCTGCCAGGGGTACTGGGGCACACTTGTAATCCCAGCATTCAGGAGGCTGAGGCAGGAGGAGTGCCACAAATTGAAGCTCAGTCTGAGCTCCATAGCCTGGACTACACAGCAAGAACCTATCTCCAAAAAACGTAATTTATATTTTGTTCACTAAGTTTCAAGTAAAGCAGGTGGTTGAAAACTTCAAAGCGAATGCAAACATTCCTCGTTTAGTGACTATGGAAAGCAAGTTCCTCACTTCGGCTCACTCAGCCTCCTCCGAGGAAATTCAAAGTACCTTCTAAGACAAGGCCCACTTCACCCAATTTGCAGCCGCCCACCTAAGCTGCTGGGGGTTTTCGTGGATCCCCACCACCCAGTAGTGGTCGGACTTCCCCTTGCAGTGCTCCCTGGTGTCACACACGGGCGTCCACGTGTTCCCCAGCCCTCGGTTAAGCATCCGAACACAGCCTTCAGAATCCACATAGCAGGGCGTACCTGGACAACAACAACAACGAAGAAGAAATCACTTGGAGACACAGCCCCTACCTCAAAATTACACACCCAGGGCTTGATGTTCACTTCAAAAGCAAAAACAAAAAAAAAAAGGGGTGATAGAAAAGGCAAATAATCCAAGACTGCTCTCTGTAAAACTTTATTAACTGCAGAGTAAGCACTAACGCAAGAAAACTGCATAGCATATGACTAAAATTTGCCAAATACAGAAAAAAACACAGTTTCAACGAACACTGTGCCACTTGCTGAAGTATAACTATTTTTGAGCCAATTTCAACAAACAAAATATATGTGAAGGCTCCTCTTAAGAGACTTGATAAAACACCAGAAACTGCTACAACATGGTGCTATAAAGAAAAATGTCTTTGTTACTCTGTTTTCTCCCTCTTTTCTTTGATGACCTTGACACTTTTCTGCCCTCAACTCCTAGGTGAGCAGCTGTCAGGGAACGCATAGGTACCACTGTGCCCCACTTACTCTGCAATGCACATGGCAAGCTGTCTAATCACCCTTCCTACTCTGCAAACATCGGTTTCCCGGGGACTGCGTCAGACTGGTTCATGGGGAAAGAAAAGCTATATAAACAGGAGTTATCATTAGTCAAGCATAAGCGATCATGTCCCAACAGGAAATCAATCCAGAAGTGGCCGATACTTTTCAAGACAAACAGGTTTTCCAGTGATACAAATGAGGGGCATAAATCCCTAGTAGCAGAAAACACTGATGCCCTCGAGAGAGGGCTAATGGTGCTCTAAGGCAAGGTCTTCCTCTCTGTCCTTCAAAGCATGTCATGAGTCACCATAAACGGGCCTCACACTGGCCAACAGAAACACTGCATGAGCCACTGATGTAATTTTTCATCCACAGGGCTACTTTAACAAAGAAAAAACAAAAGTTAACTTTTATCATATAATGTATTTAATCCAGGATATCCAAAACATTACCATTTAACATGCAGTCAGTGTAAAAAGAATTGAGTTACTATTCCTTTTCTCACATTAAGTCTTTGAAATGCAGAGTATTTTATACTCACATCTTAATTCACTAGCCACATTTCAAGTGCTCAGTAGCTACATGTGGCTAGGAGTTAACTGCAGTAGACAGTGCAGCTTTGAAAAATTCCTAATCTTGAAGCAAAATCCGCTGGAAAAGACACAACTTTACCATCAATTTACATCTCCTCTTTGCTATCTATCCAATAAATGTATATAAGAAAAATAAAGCTCCCCTTTTTGGAAGTTTTCCAATCAAAATGCTTAAGAGATCTTGTACATGAAACAATGGCTACTTTGCCTAACAACTGTACTTTCCAGTCTGGCCGACATTAAAATACAGAAATATAAATGTAAAATATAGGCAATTTATCATTAAAGAAAGTATAAGTAAAACAATGAAGTCATTTTCCTCTTGAAAGGTATCTTTAAAGAAACAAATCAGTCTTGCCTTCAGCTGAAAACCCAAGCCACGTGAGGTAGGATCTCCTCGTGAGGGGAAGAGGATCACCACGCAAAATCTGCCTCTTCTTTTTCCCCAGCTCCAACAGCTGAACTCCAAGACACTGGTCTCCATCAAATCCTGTACCTATCAGAAAGTGGAAATGTAAGTCCGGCGTCAAACATTATTCAGCAATACTGCCATCCACATTATTTTCGGAGCAGACTGTGTGATAAATTCTTAAGCGAACTGGCACTGTTTCTAAGGCTAAGCCAGACGAGGCACCGCACTGGGATCAGAAGCAGAACGATAGTTACACGGACTGTTCCTACAGACTGGTCCTAAGAGGTCACTCCTTCACGCGGGAAATACTTACAGAGAACTTCCTAGGTACGGGCACTGTGTTAGGCAAAGGGGCCACAGGGATAAGTGGTCATTGTCTGCAGGACATCCATGGACAGGCACAAGACAGACAAATCAAAAAACAGAAAAAAAAAAAAAGCTACCAAAGAGTTAAATTAATAATGTGATGCAGAGTGCCAAATTGAATGGTTATTTTAGACTGGAGTCATTTGGAGAAAATAAAATTCGAACTGAGATAGGAATTGCACGTTGGGGCCAGCAAAGCAAATATTAGGGGAAGACCACAGTAGGCAAAGGGAAAGCTTAAGGAAAGGTTGGCAGACAGGGACGAGGTGAGTGCCCAAAGAAGGCGAAGTGTACGGCAGGGCCAGGAGATGGGAATGAGACAAGGCAGCAGGACAAGGCAGAGAGCTTGACTGAGATCAGATCATATGGGGTGGTAATTGTCTCGCCAGCTGTGCTGAGTTTGACTGTTATTCCACTCAACTGGGGCAGAGCTGAGCAGAAGACTGCGAAGACATGGTTTGTGTTTTGAAAAGACCACTGGCTGCTTTGTGAAGAATACACTGTGAAAGGCAAGAACCAGAGATGAAAGATGAACCAGGATGCTAGCATGGTCTGAATAATGCCACGAAAACTGGGCCAGGCTGTGGATGGAGGAAAGGAAGAGACAGGTATAGAATGTGTTTCAGTTTGAGAGGCCTGTTCAGACTCTACCTAAACATGTCAAGTGAGCTGCTGGCTGTGTGAGTCTGGGGACAAGAAAGGGAGTTGCTGAGGTCATGGATTGGGAAGTCGGGGACACAGGGATGTACCCAAGGCCGTGGTTTTGGATGAACCGCCCAGAGCAGCTTCTCCAACTTGCATGTTTGGGTCTATGAGTCACAACATCAATTTAAAGAAAAATGAAATTAAACAGTAAACACTGCAGGGGAATGGGGAAAAAATAAGAACCAAGATATATCATGTAGAGGTACAAATTTCCAATGATGAATGTAACTGTACTGTATACCTAAAAGGTACCAATAAACTTAATAATAATAAAGAGTAAACATTGTCCCTGAGACTTTTCTTCTGTCACACTTGCAGATATATACAAAGTGGCACTGCAGGGCTGGGGATTTAGCTCAGTGGTGCCACCCCCTGCCTTGCAAGTGCAAGGTCCCGAGTTCGATCCCCGGTACCAAAAAAAAAAAAAAAAAAAAAAAAAATCTGGTAATTTCCATTGTACTTCATGTCATGGCAAACTATAAAAGACTGAGAAAAAAAAACCCTACCTCTGTGATAAACAATGAAAAGCTGCTCTCCGTGTCCTGCCAGTGACACCACGGGCCCTGGCAGACTGAAGACCTCATTCTGCACACCCCCAATGGTGAACAATCGCAGGAGCAGGGCGCTGGTGGCAGCGGCGGCCCAGCCCTGACCGAGGCAGATGGCTTCGACATCCTCCTTCTGCGGCATGTCCACCATCCACTCCTTGCTGGAGTCCCAAGAACTGAAGTGCAGGCAGTGAAGCTTGCTACGAGTGAAGACAGACAATCCAACTCTTACACGTGGTGTTTTTGAGTCTGTGGAAGCTGCCTATAATAAGGCCAGTGTTTCCCTATCATGTACCACTCGTTCAATTGCTTTAAGAAGGATATTTATAAAATATCCTTAAAGTGAATCTATTAAAACCAGTAAGCCACATTTTTGAAGGATACAGAATGATAAAGGAAAAGGCTCACAACAGAATATTAAGCGAAAAAGGGGAGGCTAAAAATTGTTAAGTGTTTTCTGGGTCAAAATGAATGAACCCCACGTTGGAGCACTGGAAACTGCTATTTGCAAACATTGCTATCACATTTAGAAATATGTGCACTACCTAAGTTTTTTGTCTGAGAAAAACTATCCATCTATAAAAATTGCCTTGACAAAAAGTTTTGGTTTGACTAATCATTTTGCTTAAGTGATAAGTATGCAAGGTGGATCCTTGATGAGCCAACAATGCATTGTGGATACACATCTATGTTTATGCACTATTAGAAAAGAAATGTTGCTTTGAAGCAATATTTGCAAAACACACAAACTTCTGTATCTGTATTTGGAAAAAATAAAACAGGTTCATGTTTCAAAAAAAAACCTGTTAAGTGTGATTCTACACTGTAAATGCACACAAAACCACAACTATGATTTTTTTTTTTTTTTTTTGTACCAGGGATCAAACTTGGGACCTTGTGCTTTCAAGGCAGGCGACGGAACCACTGAGCTAAATCCCCAGCCTTGACCCCAGTTTATTTGATTTTATTTTTGTTTGTTTGTTTTGTTTTGTTTTGTTTTTGTACCAGGGATCGAACTCAGGTCCTTGTGCTTGTGCAGCAGGCGGCGAAACGACTGAGCTAAATCCCTGGCAACCCCAGTTTATTTTAATAAACTGAGTCAATTCAATGATGAATGAAGTATTGAGATGGTAAATGTACAATTTAGGAAACCGGCGCACATATTAAAACGACCCATACGGTGTTTCTCAGACTTGAAGGTGCACTCAGCCACTCAGGAGCCTGCTAAACTTCAGACTGTGGTTTGGAAGTTGAGGCGAGGCCTGAGAGTCTGCATTTCCAACAAGTTCCCAGGCCACTCACAACTCTAGTTTGTAGACCACACTCTGAGCAGCACGGAGCAAATATATGTCATCAGAAGGATTGTGATTTCAAATCATGAAGGGGACATTAAAAGTAATCACGGTCATCAAGGAAAAAGATCAAGAGAGGGTAATTGGGCTATAAAAAGAGAAGATTTTCTTTTCTTTGAAAAAAACTACATATATTCTACATGCAAGGCTTTCCCATCATGATTTTTATCTATACATCAACTTACCAATTTACCTAACTACCTACTAAAGCATGTAAAGAAGCCCAAAATATATTAAGTAAGAACAAACTGCTGTTGCTGAGGTCTTCTTTTCTAAAATTTCTTTTTGGGGTTGGACATGGTGGCACACACTTGTAATCCCAGGACACTGGAAGGGTGAGACCGAAGGATCACAAGTTCGCGACCACCCTGGGTTATACAGTGAGACTCTGTCTCCAAAGAAAATAAAAATTTCTTTTTGTGCTGAGGATGAAACTCAGTGGTAGAGTGCTTGCCTTGCATATGTGAGGACTTAGCTTCTTTTTATTTTTTTGGTACCAGAGATCGAACTTGGGGCCTTGCGCTTGTGAGGCAGGCGAAGGCATCACTGAGCTAAATCCTTGGCCCAAGGCCTTAAGTTCTTGAAAGAGAGGTTTCAAATCTAACCTATGACAAAAAACCAGATCAACAATTGTCCAAGGTTGGGACTGAATTAACTGTAAAGGGATATGAGAGAACATTTTGGAGAGATTTTTAAAAATTATTAGCTTGATGGCAGTAGTGATTACATGGGTATGTACACATTTGTCTACATATCAGACTAGATATAGCATGTAATTTTATTGTATATAAATTATGCCTCAACATAGTAAATTTTAAAAAGAAAACTTCAGAGCCAGGTGTGGTGGCACACGTCTGTAATCTCAGCACTCAGGAGGCTGAGGCAGGAGGATTGCAGCAAGTACAAGGCCAGCTTGAGTTCCACAGTGAGTTCAAGGCCAGGCTGCAATGAATAGAAAGACCCTGTCTCAAAAAAAAAATCAAAAGAATAAAAATAAAAAGAGAACTTCACAGGACGTGATGGTACACACAGTCCCAGCACTCGGGAGACTGAGGCAGGAGGATTACCATGAGTTCGAGGCCAGCCTGGACTACTTAGTGAGACCATGTCTCAACCCAAAATAAAAAATTAAAAAAAAAAAAGAAAAGAAAACTTCATACAGAAAGGTATCTAGAAAGATACACATCAAAGTGTTAATCGTGGTTATATCTGAGAGCAGAATCTCGAAAGGAACTTTCACCTTCTAGAAATTTTGTATACTAACAATGTAAAAAATAATCCCATCTCCTGTGCATTATAAGTTAGTTGCACCATGTCATTTTGGTTTGTAGTTCAGAGCAGGTAATGAGGGACAATCAGAGCAAGAGCATGTTCTGTGATATAGATGTGCCGTTCCTCGTACCAAATGCCTTTTTCTGCAATTTCACACTACAAAAAACCCATCACTATACTTTTAACTTTTGTTGTTAACCCAACAATTCTATCCAGCAGTTCAACAGTGTCCAATTCTTTTTTTTTTTTTTCCAATTCTAACAACCCTGAGTCTACCTTGCTAGGTCATCAGTGCTCTCGCATGCCAACAAAATAGCTTCGTGGGAAAGATCTGCCACTGTGTAATTCAAGGTGTTCGACAGGTGTGTCGCATGGTGCACGGAGGTGTCGTGGAACTCCACATCTATGGCATTGTCTTGCTCATCGTTATAGCAGCGAATAATTCCAACAGAGTTCCACACCTACAAATATGGAAGATGAAACACAAGTCTGAGAAAAACGGAAGCTCCTAAAATTAGTGGGCTACTGTTGTACAAATTAACAAGACTGTAAATCAAACTCCATCAAGGTTTAAGTTAGGCAAGTTACTGTATCTCATGTAACTAAATATTTTTGGATAGCAGGAGTAATATCAGACCTAAGGTACATATGTGCTTATTTATTAGCAACTGAAGTGTTTAATATTTAAAAATAAATTATATGACTGTCATTAAAAAAGTACTTTATAAGTGACTTCTGAAAAACCAAACCATTACATTTCTCAAAAGAAACATTCCAGAGATACAAATGACATCAGATACTTTTCTATTCCAGCTAACTAGTTTACATTATAGGATACATACATACATACAATTTTTTTTTTAAGGAAGACAATGTATTTTTCTTTTAGGAAGACAATGTATTTGAAGATGAAGGAGAAAAAGAGATGATAGAAAGCTACTCTGGACAAGTAGGAAGAATTCAAGTGAATTGCTCCAATACACATTTTTTTTTTGGTACCAGGGATCAAACTTGGGACCTTGCACTTGCCAGGCAGGTGCCAGAAACACTGAGCTAAATCCCCGGCCCCCAACACACATATTTTAAAGCAACACAAATTGATACCATTTTTATAAACTGTCTTCCACTGATGTACATGACAGGTTCACACTAGATCCTAGAGTTTCTAGAAAATTATTGTTGACATTTTATGTAGTTATGTAGTAATGTTAACCATAAGATATATTAATAGGGCCAGGGATTTAGCTCAGTGGTTCCGCCACCTGCCTCGCAAGGGCAAGGACCAGAGTTCGATCCCCAGTACCAAAAAAATATATATATATTAATAAAATTAATGCATACTAACATATTAATAAAATTTACTAATAAAATTAGTGATGATTACTAATAAAATATATATCACTGGATGGTTACTTATGGCAACAGTTTTATTAATATTACACACAACTTTAGTATATATGTGAGGACTGTATTTTAAAAAAACAACAAGCAAATCCTTAGAACAGAAAACCTCAAATACCAACAAATAGAAATCTTAAAAGTTTAAATTCTCAAATCTGAGGACAATAACTAATCATTGATTCAAGAAATACATATTTAATGCCTTTAATGCCATATCGTGTTCTAAATGCTAAAACAGCAGTTTAAAACACCAAATAAATGGGCCGGGGATTTAGCTCAGTGGTTTCACCACCTGCTGTGCAAGCGCAAGGACCCAGGTTCAATGCCTGGTACCAGAAAAAACAAAAACAACAACAAAAAAACTCCACCAAATAAAAACCAACAACAGGCCCGGGGATTTAGCTCAGTGGTTTCTCCACCTGCTGCAGAAGCACAAGGACGCGAGTTCGATCCCTGGTCCACCCCTCAAAAAAACACCCAACAATAAAGGCCTGGAGAGACAGCTCAGTGGTATAGCACCTGCCTAAAATGCATGAGGCCCTGAGTGTGATCCTCAGCACCACATGCACAAAAATAAAACTCAGAAAACTCTGCTCTTGCGGAACTTACATTCCAAGGAAGTGAGCTGGAGGGCAATTTTTTCCCACCCATAGTACTTATCTTTCTCCTTCTCAGACATTATACATGGAGTTGCCTGCTAAAAAACATCTTTTAACTAGTATTCTGGAATCCGTGTAATCTTGTATTTAAAAATAAATCTACAGGGCCAGGGATTTAGCTCAGTGGTGTCGCCGCCTGCCTAGCAAGTGCAAAGTCCGGAGTTCGATCCCTGGTACCAAAAAATAATATCTACTGTGAGAAGTAAGGTTTGGAAGTACAGCTGTAAGACAGTCATATTTATTTAGGCTCATTATGTCATTATGCCTAGCAGAATTTTATTTAATTGATTTACAATAATAATGTTGAAATAAGATTAAAACTGAGTTAAACCAACCATAAAATTATAAACCAAGTGGTGTAACCCACTTAATCAGGGTTTTAAAAAACTTTTTATCCAATGAAATAAACCAGAGTGAGAAGAGATGCCAGCACACTACGTGAACAGTGGGGTGCAGACCCCAGACGCACCATGAACCTGTGGGTGAGCTGCGAGGGCGTGGACCCCGGCTGGAACGGCTTCTGCCTCGGTGTGGGCCTGGGCCCCTCGTACAGCAGGCTCTGGGTCGGCACCGGCGGGAGGTGGTGCATGCTCCCTGCCCACCCCTCCTCCTCCTCCTCTTTGAGCAGACCAGACTTCAGCATTGTAATGTCTGCAATGTGAAGAAGAGCTGTAAGAGAACTCTAATCCCAGTGAGCTGGGCAATAAAAGTGACAGTGGACTCTGACAAGCCCTGCACTGTCCCAGGGACAGGAGTGACGGCTGCGCTGCGCTGCTGGTGTGGACTGAGAGGCAGCACCAGCCTGAATCAGCAGTCCCTGCTCTCTGAATGCTAATTCTAGTCAGTACTGACCCTGCAAAATGAAAGTGAGAAGTGTGTAAGACAACGGTCGTCTGTGAGAGGTGCCTGCCCTCCCAGGTGCTTGTACTGTGAGCCAAATGACCTGACTTTCTCACTGAATGCCAGCCGACTTGGTCGTGCAGACTTGCGTGAATGAAGTGAGCCTGTCACTTGATAACTGAGAGAATTTGTTGCCAGTGATAAAATTTGAGCTTTCAAACAAAAATGAGAATATTGGAAAACTTGTATTTCCTCTCATGAGCCTGACAACATTTGAACGTTTAAAAGTTTGGGGAGGTTAGCGACGATACTAACAAACATAACTTCTATGGGATAATGAAATGCATGAACGAGAGGACGGCTGTAACCCTCAGGAAACCATTACTCTCCAAATTGCCAATGCATGGTAAAAGTCAAGTAAGAAGAAATAAAATCCATTCTGAGTTCAAATCAGACCAATGGATTTCAATGTAAGAGAGTTTTAAAAGTTCACTGAGGTCTCAGATTCCACAATACAAGTACAGTAATCTTTAAGAAACTGCCACCAACCAGGCATGGTGGCACATGCCTATACTACCAGCTACCAGAAGGCTGAGGTAGGAAGACTGCAAGTATGAGGCAGCCTGGGTGACTCAGCAACACCCTGTCTCAAAATAAAAAGGGCTGAGGTTGTGGCTCAGTAGTAGGGGATTTGTCTAGCATGTGCAAGAGACAGAGAGACAGGAGGGGAGAAGGGAAAGGAGAGAAGAGGAGAACTGAAGTGAAGTGGAAGTGGGAAAGGTAAGGAAAGAAAAAGGGAAGGGAAAACATGAGGGAAAGGAAAGAAGGGAGGGAGGGAGAGACAACCTTTTGCCAAGTTTTGGTGAAGTATCAAAGAATTTCCATAACTCTTTGAGCAGGTTATTTAAATACTTCTCCCTTCACAAATTCCACATTTGGAATTTTCTTCGCATACTTCAAGCAAAGCTGATATATGGCAACAGATTTAATTGAGAAAATGAGACAATCCTGGTGTGCTGTGGCAGACATTACAAAGACTGCAATGCTGCTCTTCTGGCTACTTTTTGTTTTCTGTTAAAAAACACTCAGGTTGGGCCAGGGATGTAGCTCAGTGGCACCGTGCCTGCCTGGAAAGCACAAGGTCCTGAGTTTGAGTCCCAGTACAAACAACCACCACCACTACCACCACTAAAAACCACTCAGGTTTACATGTGAGTTTCTACTATAATTTTTAAATATTTTTAAAATTTCTCCATTTTAATTTCTAACATAGTAAATAAAAATTAGATGTTACTTCTCCATATAAACAAATGTTCTTTGGAGGCCCTTTGAGAGTAAAGGGCGCCTGTAATTAAAGCATTTGAAGACTGTTCTAGAAATAGTATGTGATTTAAATGGAGGATGATTCACCACTGTGCACTGACATTTTATTTGCTAATGGTCAAATGTGTTACTTTTTTTATTTGTTTGGATTTATTTTGGGTACTGGGATCGAACTAGGGACCTTGCACTTGCAAGGCAGGCAGTGGAACCACTGAGCTAAATCCCGGGCCCAAATGTGTTATTTTTGCATGTAAGTTGTTACAACAGGTACTTTATTTGAAGGTTTCAAATTATAATCTCAATTTCCTTAATAGATACATTATTCAGGCTATATCCTTCTTTTGGAATTAGCCTAGCAACTTGGATCTTTGAAAAAGTTTGCCCATTTCATCTACATTGTTGAATTTACGGGCACAAAGTTGTTCCTATTTTCTTCTTATCCTTTTGGTATCTGTGGTGTGCTGACTCCCAGGAAGATGAGTAACATAAACTTTCTAGTAGTCACATTTAAAAAGTTAAAAATAATATACTGCATTTATAGTGTTAATCTTTCCAACATGTACTCAATATAAAAAATTGACTGTGATGGTTTACATCTTTTTTTCACGCTATCTTCAAAATCTTATTTGATTGCGTTTTACACTTAAAACACATTTCAATTTGAGCTAATGTCATCAAAATGTTCCCTGCCAAACGTGGAAGCCGTATCGGACAGCCCACATCTACACAATCGATATTAACAGTTTGCCTTTTTTTTCTTTACCGGTCATGATAGAGATTTATTCACTTCATTGATCTTTTCAAGGAAGTAGTTTTTGATTTCAATGATTTCAGTTTCTCTTCTGTTGATTTTACTGAATTTTGCTTTTATTATTTCCTTCCTTATTTTTGGAGTTTAATTTCTTTTACTAGTTTGCTAAAGCAGATAGATTATCCAATATTAAACTTAACTTTTTTTTAAGGTAGGGTCTTGCTATGTGTTCAGGCTGGCCTTGAACTCACTAGGTAGCCCAGGCTGGCCCTGAACTTGCGGCAATCCTCCTGCCTCTATCTTCTGAGTGCTGGGATTACAAGCATGTACCAGTATGCCTGGCTCAAAACTTTCCTTTTCTTTTTTTTTTTTTTTAAAAACTTTCCTTTTCAACATAAGGATTTAATGTTATTAACTCCCTTGGTATTCCTCTAGCTACAATCTACAAATGGAATAATGCCTTTAACAGTTTTAATTTAAAAATTGAAAATATTAATCAACAAGGTGGATTATCACATGCACAAAGGCAAATTCATACCTACTGAATTTTCATCATCTTCTAGGATGTGACTTCGCGGTCTAGAACGACTGGAGGCCACCATGAGGTCATCATCGTCTTCATCATTTATAATCCCTCTCGGAAAAGAGGGGGTCTCAGTTGTCTTGTCATTGAGAAAGTCACCCATATTGCTGGTATCATCTCCATCAAAAAGATCATCGTAATCCTTTTCCACACTGCTAGAGACCTTGAATAAAGAAATTAACACTTAGAAAGTATAAGTGTCCTGGAGAAACTCAATTACTTGAAAAGCAATCTGTTTTTAATTGTTCAGTGGTAGGGATCGAACCCAGGGCCTCATGCATGGGAGGCAAGCGTTCTACCACTTACCTACATCTCCAGCCTCAAAGGCCACCTTTTAATATGCATTAATAAATTCTGTCAAATAGGCAAATGCCTGGGAGAGAAGTGTAACTAGCAAATGTATCCGTGAAAACCATATTTATATATATGTAATAAGATCCAGTTCTTATTTTAAATGCTTTGTGGTCAGGGGCAGACATGGAAGTGAATTTAGGGTATACTCCAAAATGTAAGGCAGGAATTTACTTCTCAAAAGTCATTCTCCAGCACAGAAGTCACCAGGTATTACTAATAAAGTCAGTATGAAGTCTTATTTTGTAAGACATTCTCTTACTTTGCACAAGACACTACTTAGGTGAGATACATTTGCTCTACACAATCCTGCTTAAAGCTAGAGGTTTTTTGAATGCTTAGAGAAACAAGGTTGTAGAACCAATACAAAAACAAAGAGGGCAAGGAAAGTAAACACAGGCTGAATCATTACTTGTTAGGAATATGAGCATAACTCCTGCAAGAGTTGGGTGTCACTGTGGAAGAGTAAGACACATGGCAGGGGTCACGCATGACTCCCACGCTGCGGGACAGCCATCCTACACAAATGTTAGGGGAAGGGAGTCACAGCTCAGTACTACAAAATGCTAATGAGATCCCAATGACAGATTAAAAGGGTTCTCTCACAAACCTTTAAATAAAATGGAAGTAAACATGACTGAACTGCGGAAAATTAATGTTTAATAAAATGGTAACAGAAAAAAGTTCTAAAATCATTCAAACATATGATTGGATGAATAATTAAATATATTAAATGCTGTAAGATAATTTAACCATTCCAGCTATAGTCCTATGGACTAAAGTTGGCCAAAATCTTTTTTGGGACTTTCTTACTGGAAAATAGGGGTTTTACTATACATTAATGAAGGCAGAAATAAGTACTGTGAGGAATAAAAGCCAAAAAGACAGAAAAGTTAACAATTTCAGAAGAGGTGACCCTTGAACTAAATAATTTTTACTTAATTTACGTTTGTTTTTATCAGTGTTATGCATATATATTCCTTTGGCACAGTTTATCATAAAAATGAGAAGTCTCCTGCATAGCCCCCAATTTTTCCGGCTGCTTTGTTTCTTGGCTATTCTCTTCTTACTCATAAACAATATTCTAGAAGGCCAGGGATTTAGCTCACTGGGGCTGCCGCCTGCCTTGCAAGCCCAAGGTCCAAAGTTCGATCCCTGGTACCAAAAAAAAGCAAGCTCACTCAACAGTACTCTAGAACTGTTCATTTTGGACCATGACCTGTGTAGTAGATCCTATGAAATCCCTTCTGTCGAGGATGAACAATCTGTGCCCCTTTATTCCCACTCCGCCCTCGGATGTCTGGCACACTGCTCTCCACCCCAGTCCTCCTCATACCAATACATCCTCACTTCAGTTCAATCGACACAGAGTGGTTAGGTCTCAAGATCATGTAAATACTATTCACGGCTGAATAAAAATGCTAACAGTCAGCCTTTATACAGCGTGCTAGACTGTCTTCTCACTACATGTAATTCATTTCATCTTCACAATAACCCCACTGGCAGGCACTATTCCTTCTTATCTCACAGATGTGGCATATGTGGTCCCTTTTCCTTTCCTCTATAACTTTCCGTTTTCCCTGCAGTTAGAGTCTCTTCTCTCTTTAGTCTTTTCTTCTGGATGGATTCCTAAAGATGATTCTTTTCTTTTTTTCTAAAGATGATTCTTCCAGTGAGCTAGGAATCTCTACATTTTCAGTTCAGTATTCCCTACCCCCTCATGCAACTGTACTCAGCAGCCGGGACCAAAGACCTTCCCTACCTCACCTTTTCCAGAAAATAAACCGCCATCATCCAGCCAGAGTGTATGTGGGGATGGGGCGCCATCACCCAGGTGTGCACTTGGATATCGAGCTTGGAGCTATTTGCTCATCAAATCAACCCTGCTGTTGCTGACCTCCCTTTTACAAGAATGTAATGCTGCCAGGCTCCAAGTCTGGGGGTTCAGTCAGGCAAATGGGAGTTGTACCTCAGCTTCCCCAACTGAGGTCTGAGGATTCACTTTTGTGAGAAGCTAGTTTCCAACCATCCTTTTACTTTCCAGCCTCCAAAATTCTTTCTTTTTTTTTGTACTGGGGATTGAACTCAGGTCCTTCTGCTTGCGAGCCAGGTGGCGGAACCATTGAGCTAAATCCCCAGCCCATAAATTAGATAAAACTGTTTTGTTTTTTGGGGGTACCGGGGATCGAACTCGGGACCTTGCGCTTGCAAGGCAGGCGCCAGAACCACTGAGCTAAATCCCCGGCCCTGTCATCATTACTCTTCATGGATTATGCATTTAAAGTTTTTTTTAGAGCATGGGGGTTTCATGGTTTAGTGAGGTTTCAGGAAGAGGACAGTAGAGGGCCGGGGACTTAGCTCAGTGGTACCACTGCCTGCCTTGCAAGCACAAGGTCCTGAGTTCAATCCCCAGTATCAAAAAAAAAAGGAAGAGTACAGTAGAAATAAATGCACATATTTAGTATGCAATCTTTAGCAGAGAGTCTAAAGCACAACATGAAACAGGAAAAGGTACATAAAACAGACAGCATGAATGATGAACAGGCAAGGACATATAAACAAAGTGACTTACCCAAACAACCGGAGTAGAAGGGGTGCACAGGGCGTGCTTAAGAGTTAAGGCAAATTCAGAGCAGAAAGTGTATAGATCCAACTGGTACCTGCTATAGGTATTAACTCTAAGTTGTAGCTGTAAAACATTTACCTGACAATCCTCAAAATACCAGGATACTAACACAGAATTTTACAGAGGACATTCCTTGGAAAGGTACCCTATGGAGGAAGTTTCCCAGTAAAGCACATTTACTAGGGAAAAAGTAGGTCGAAGAAGCTTAAATGTAGTTTCCTTTATCACTGACAGAGTTCCGTCGCTCGTTACCTTACTGCCTGATACCTTCCCGCTGGGCGCACACACATTCTCTAGCAGCCCCAGGTTCCCCTCGGTGTCCGTGTAAGATATTCGACCACAGGTAGGGTGCCAGGCCAGGCCACAGATTGCATAACCTTTCTCATGTTTCACCCTAAAAATTAAAAAGTGTGCTCTTAAAATACTGTCAGGAAGAATACAAACTGCACACTTCTTTAGGTAAATTTTAGTTAGAAAGGGTAAACAACTTTTGACAAGGTAAGAGCTATATATTTTCATTATCATTAATAACTGAAACTTTGAAATGCTTCCTAATAAAACAAAACAAAAAGACTAATACAAATGAGTGAAGGGCAGGGATTTAGCTCAGTGGTTCCGCTGCCTGCCTCACAAGCGCGAGGTCCTGAGTTCGATCCCCGGTACCAAAAACAAAACAAAACAAAAAAATGAGTGAAGAACAAAAAGGCATACTAAAGCATACCTTTCCACACAGTCTTTGGTTTCCACATTCCAAACTATAATTAGGCCATTAATACTACCGGCAGCTAAATATCGCCCACAGGGAGACCAGGTTACCACATTGAGGCTCTATAAAGAAAAACAGTGAGTAACAATTCTGTGTAATATGAATATTCATTTTATTACCAAGTTCAGAGTTTTACATCCTTGTTCTATATTATTCCTAATTATATTTGAAAAAAGGAGTGACAACCCAAAGGTTTTTATTTTTGGTACCGGGGATTGAACTCGGGTCCTTGTGCTTGCGCTGCAGGCAGCAAAACCACTGAGCTAAATCCCTGGCCCAGGTTTTTGTTTTTGAGACAAAGTCTGACTATACAGTCCAGGCTGACCTAGAACTCAGTTTGCTAATTTTTAAAAACTTTCTTTTTCAGTAATATTCACCTACATTAGCAGCTGGTACTTTATTTACCACCAGAAAACTATAGCAGCACAATTTTAAAAGAAAAACGTAAAAACTATTATTATCATGGGAAGAGATGGTACAAGGTGTCCTCTTAGCATTTACCCGAGATGAAGCAAACTGTAAGCGAAGCATGGTGAGCTTTACTAAGCCGCCGCTGACTTGCAGCGCTGTGACTCCTTGACTGTAAAATACACAATGTGCGCCAGGAAAGAGAGACTGAGCAAGAGAACAGAGAGCAACCACCATTTTTTTTTTTTTTTTGTACCGGCGATCGAACTTGGGTCCTTGTGCTTGCGAGGTAGGCAGCAGAACCACTGAGCTAAATCCCCAGCCCCTACCACCATTCTTGCTCTAAATTTCAGAGATAAGAGTAGGGGGAGATGGAGGAAGGGGGAAGGGAGGGAGGGTGGGAATTAGAGTGGTAGAGAAACAGACTAACAATCTTTCCTGCTCTAACATTTCAGAGACTATGATCCAAGTCTCTTAATAAAGCCAAAGACTGACTCCGCAAAGGAGAAAGATCAGATGGGACATACAGGTATCAATTATTCAGTTACTGGTGAAACACTGGTGAAAGGGACAGACAGGAGACACCCACATCACAGCCTGGAGCTGCTCTCCATGCACGCCTGACCTCGGGAGGATGTGGAAACTGTTCCCTGAGGCCCAGTGCATGAGCACGAAACCTACCTGTGAGATGGAACTATTGGAAAGATCAAATTGATTACTCCAAGTTTCTCTTCTATATAGCTTCACAGATTTTTCCACAGGAACTGCCAGTAACTATTAGGAAAGAGGCAATTCAAACAAAAGGTGACATTACACTCAATAAAGAGGAAAAAAAAATCAAGTTCATCCAGATAAATTTACAAAACAGAAGAGCAAATCTGTATTTTAACTGACAACTAACACAACTCGGCAAATTACTTAAAATTTTGATAAGCAGCCGCCTGCTGCGCAAGCGTCAAGGACCCGAGTTTGATCCCTGGTACCAAAAAAAAAAAAAAATTTTGATCAGCAAAAAAAAAAAAAAACAACAAAAAATGGTGATGATCACTACTGCTTGTACCAGAAAGTAGAGAATTACTAGTTACTGGTATTTTTAATACAGTTTCTTGAGAAATCTAGGTTCTTTGGACCTAAAATTTCATCTCATTTGCTAGAAGAAAACAGTCAAAATCCTCTATCTTAGAGGGAAAAAAGGAATTTGTCTTCTTACAAAGCCTTCCAAAGAACAATTAGTAGAAAAAGCAAAAACTGAAGGGGCAGAGTGCATAACTCAGCAGCACAGCACAAAACTTTAACCCTCAGGACAAAACAGAGAAAATGTGTATGTTTTTCCATGTTTATCCTATACATATAGACACATATACATGTAGTTCAACAGTAAAGCCATGTCAAGTTTATTAATTTTTAAATTAATTAGATTAATTCATGCTTTGAAAGCAAAAAAAGACAATGGATTTTCTTATCATTTCAATGCAGTAAGTATACACTTAAAAGTCACAGGACTTAAAAGGACAGACGTTTTTGTTTTTTTCAAGAGGGTCTTGCTACATAGCCCAGGATAACTTCAAAAACTGGCTGCACAACCCAGGCTGGCTTTGAACTTGCAATCCTTCCGCCTCAGCCTCCTGTGTGCCAGGATTATAGGTCTGCGCTGCCACACATGGTTACAAAAGGGTGTACAGTATGTGAAAGTCTCCCTCCCACCCCTAACTCCTACGTCTACTTTCAAAGGCAAATATAAGACACACAGAATGTATATCCAAATATATTTAAGTATTTATAGAAATACTTAAGTGTACACACACACTCCTCTTTTGTATTCAACAGTAGCCCCTATATCTACTGTTCCACAGTTTGATGTTTTTCACTTCACAATGTATCTTAAAAGATTATTGCATGAGGACATAAAGAGAAATCTGATCCTAACAATTGGAGAGAATCTCTCACTTTCAAGACTACCAGTTGCCTGCAAATGAACATTTAGGATGGCTCCAATCTTCTGCTGCTACAAAGAGTGCCCTGAGTTTGTTCTACAAACTGTAGAGCGAGTATATATGGACATGATTATAGGACATCCTAGGTTCGGTCCCCAGCAGTGCAGAAGTAAATCAGTAAATAAACGAAGGCCACAGCCTCTTTGTACACATGTCTTTCCCCGTCTTTTCACTGGGTTCTTACTGCTGCATAAGAACACTTTGTACATTAAGGAAATTAACCCTTTCTTACAGTGTTTCAAACTGTTTCACCCCAATTTGCCATGTGTCCTGACTAGTATTTTTCATTGTGCAAAAAATGCTTTAGTCATGTTTAATCTTATTTTCTGAAAATTTTCATATAAATAGGAAACTTGAAAGAATAATACAGCAATTATCTATAGATTCCTCACAAGAGGCCTCCGAGATGGTTCTCAGCCATTCTCACCCCATGGGATTCAGGCCTTTATTGCTTTTTTCTACCTTTATCTACTAAATTCCTGTATATTTGTGTCTACTTCTGTTTAACAGACATGTGTCTACACACAAGTCAGTAGCAAACTTTTCATTCCCATGGTTTTATGTTTTAATATAGGATTGAATTAAGATTTTGTCACTTTTCTTTTTTAATACTTTTATTTTCCACATGGACTTTTGACTGCATTCTACTGGTCCTCTCAACCATCTTCTTTGTATTTTTTTTCTTTTTTTTTAATTAAGTTTATTGGCACATTTTAGGTCTACAATACAGTTAGATTCATCGTTGGGATCTTGTACCTTTACATGATGCATCTTGGTTCTTATTTTTTTCCCCATTCCCCTGCCCTCTCTTCACCCCCTCCACCCTTCCCTATTTACAAAGACTTTGTTTCCATTTTTTCCTTTTCTCATGTTTTTTTCTTTTCCCTTCTTTCCCCTACCCCTCCTACTTCCCCTACTCCTTTAGACCTTTTGTTCCTATTTCAATTACCAATTATACATTTTGATCCTTATTTATACTTTTAGTTTTTTGCACCAGAGAAACTATTCGGTATTTACATGTTTGACCTATTTATTTCACTTGAGTGTGGCCTCAATGTGACTCTGTTTAGCTATAAATGTCTCTAGTTTCTCGTTCTTTATGGCTTAGTAGTACTCCATTTTATAAAAAAAACCCACATCTTCTTTATCCAGTTTCCAATTGATGGGCACTTGGGCTGTTTCCAAGTTTTAGCTATTACAAACTCTGCCGCTATAAACGTGGGTCCACATATATCATTGTGGTATGATGCTTATAATTCTTTTGGGAAGATACCCAGCAGAAAAATAGCTGGGTCAAATGGGACCTCTAATCCTAGTTTTCTGAGGTATCTCCATATTGATTTCCACAGTGGTTGCACCAGTCTGCACTCCCACCAGCAATGGAGAAGGGTTCCTTTCTCCCCACAACCCTGCCAGCATTTGTTGTTGGTTGATTTCTTGATAGAAGCCATTCTTACTGGGGTGAGATGGAATCTCAGTATTGTTTTCATCTGCATCTCTTGAATGACCAGTGATGTTGAACATTTTTTCATATATTTGCTGTTTTTACTTGTCTGAGAAATATCTGTTCATTTCAGATGCCCATTTTTGGAGTGGGTTTTTATATTTAGGGGGTCTGACTTTTTTTGAGTTCTTTATATATTTTAGATAGTAGACCTTTGTCTGAAGAACAGCTGTAAAAATTTTTTCCCACATTGTAGGCTGTCTCAGCTCTGTTGGTGGTTTCTCTTGCAGTGCAGAAGCTTTTTAATAAGATGAAATTCCAGTTGTTGATTCTTTGTGCTAGTTTCTGTGCTACTGAGGATTTGTTCATAGTCTTTTCCTATGCCAAGGTCTTCGAGAGTTCTACCTATTCTATCTTCCAGCAGATTTGGTGGTGTGTTTTAATATTTAGATATTTGATGTATTTTGATTGTAGTTTAGTGCATGATGAAAGATATGGTTCTAGTTTTAAAATTTGGCAAGTGCAAAGCCAGTTCTTCCAGCACTATTTGTTAAAAGTGGCTAACTTTCTTCCAGAGGTGTTTGGTTCCTTTGTCAAAGATAAGGTGGTTGAGTATGTCTGGAGTTGTTTCTGCATTTTCTAATCTATTCCTCTGATCCTTTAGTCTGCTTTTTTTGCCAGTACCATACGTTTTTATCACAGTAGCTTCATAGTATAATTTCAAGTCAGGGATTGTGATGCTTCTGGCCTTGCCTTTCTTGCCCAGAATCGTTCTTTGTATTTTTATATTTGAATGCTGTTAGAACAACTGATTAATTTAGGGAAAATCACTATGTTTATGTATTATCAAAAATTCTTTAAAAAATGGAATTTATTTATGCAAGACTTCCTTTACTCCTTAGCAGGATGTTAAAAGTTTTCTTCATGCAGATCTTTCACATCTCATAGTACAATTATCCCCACTTACTTTATCTTTTTTTTTTTTTTTGAGATAGTATTGCTACATAATTCAGGCCACCCTTGAACTCATGGTGATCCTCCTGTTCAGCCTCCTGAGTGTTGGGATTACAAGTATGTGCCATCATGCCCAGCTTACTTTATCTTTTTTCATTTCAGCAAAAGCATTATTTTATTCTACCATATTTTCTAAATGGCTACTATTTCTATATGGGATTGTTATTGCTTTGCATACTGATTATGTTTTCAGCTACCTTACTGAATTTTCTTCCTTTGCAGTGCTGGGAATTGAATCCAAGGTCTCACCCATGCGAGGCAAGCACTTTAACACTGAGCTATACTCCAGGCTCCTGAATTTTCTTTTTTTTTGGTACCGGGGATCAAACTCGGGTCCTTGTGCTTGCGCAGCAGGCGGAGAAACCAGTGAGCTAAATCCCCAGCCCCTGAATTTTCTTAATATCTGTAACATTTTATCTCCCATCTGATTTTCTTGGGATTCCCTCCTATACAAGCATGTTTGCAAATAACATTCTCTTTCCTTTTAAACTTCTCATAAATGGGTTGTCTAACGGCACCAGTTAGTGCAAATAAAATGTGCAGTATCAGTAATATCAGTAATGAGACTAGACACGATAAGACTGTTCCTATAGGAACAAGCAGGAATGTAAAGAGAAATCTTAATTTAATTAACAATAAATACACTTAAGAATCTTTAAAAAGTTGAATTATTTCTTAAAACATTTAAATATTAATTATCTGTCTTGGGCTCTAAAATTTACAATCCAAATGTAACAGTTACAGTTAAAATTATTTTTAAATTCAAAGGTGACAAAGACTAGATGAAGGGCTGGGGATTTAGCTCAGTGGCATCACCCCTGCCTGGCAAGGGCAAGGTCTTGAGTTTGATTCCCAGTACCAAAAACAAAAAAAAAAGGAAAACAAAAAAAAGACTAGACAAAATAATTCAAAGGTTGAGAAATAAAGCCATTTACCTTCCCGCTTTCCGGCTGCCAAGCAAGTCTGCAGATGGATTTTGCATTTATCACATCGTTGCACTTGTGTAGCAGTGGCCAACTAACAGCACATGTCTGATTTTTGAAAAAAGAAAATCTATTTTTCTTTATGAAAATTCTCCCTACAAATGTATGTAGAACTGAGTACATTTAATAAGTCTCTTGAAAATGTTATATATCTCAGAATAATCTAGTAATTTAGTTATAATAAATACTTCATTAACCTAAATTCTTTAAGTCTTTCAGAAGTATGAAGAATAAAAGTTTGAATTAAGAGTAACTTTTGAGCAGAACAAGCAAACAATATACCAAAAACAGTCCTCAAAAAAAAAATTAATACAGTCCTCGATATATAAAAAGCTTAATGTGTCTACCAAAATAAATAAAACTTGAAAGATCCATTGTAAAATGTTGTCAAAATCAGACCCAAAGAGTTTAAGAGCGAGAGGAACTGTGGCTACTGAGGGAGATTTTTCTTATAGGCCACGTTATTTCTAGAAATCCCAAGCTTGCTTTTAAAAATTTGGGAAGACATAACCATTTCCTCTACCAATCTAGAGAGCATTTTCTTTATACAGACTTTAAAATTTTTATCAAGCTGGGTTACAAGTTGTACATGTGTTTAGAAATCAACCGTGGCCCATACCTTACTTATTCTTGTGCCCCTAACATCAAACACAAGGCCAATACATGGTAATTATCTTGGAAATGTATCACTGAATCTCCCCATCCCCCCGATTTACAAAGCCTCAAAAGTAAAATACAAATCTACTATTCTCCTTGGGATTGGAGACAAAAGCAATTAGTCCTCAACATACTTTTGCATTAAATTATCCTATGCTACTTAGAGGAACAAATTTCAAAGAAAAATAACTATTTGACCTAATCATACAATATGTAACACTCATTATGTTACAGAAATGAGAAAAAAAATTTTAAATTCAAATTACTGAGTTTACCTGATCTGAAATTTTCCACACTCTGACAGACCCATCACAACTAGCTGATGCCTGTAGGAGAAACAGATTTCTCTATAGTCACAGCCAGAACACTAATGGAGAATGGTTCAACAGACTCAGCCCATTTTCTACCAACTGGGTGGAAGGTTCTAATTCTCTTTCCATTTTAAACACATTAAGAAAAACCACAAAAAAAGAGAAAAAATAAAATAAAATAATTACCACAAAGATGTCTTGAGGATCAAAAGAAAGACTTAAAACAGGGGCATCATGTCCTCGAAAAGTTTTCTGCTGGCTGCTATCCATCACATCCACAATTTTGATGAGAAAATCACTATGAACAGTAAGAGTAACACATGTGTCTAAGCACAGACACAAAAGCCTTTCCCAAAAGCTATGTCTCAAATATTTCACAATCATAAAGGTGAATGCTGTAACTTCTTTACAGAAACTTCCAACTTTAATGACTTATCACTTAGTTTTGCTTTATAAAGATGCTAAAACACAAGCCAAGATTTCCCATTATGTTAAAGGGCAAACAATGCCCAAATGGTTTTAGTTACATCCTAAACTTCTATTATTTGCTAACCTAGTTACAGTTACAGTATAGCCACAATAATTTTTTTTATTTTTAAATTCTTATCACTCCATGTTTGCAATACATAATGATTATGTTCACCAAGGGAGGCTGGGACATGTACTCATCTTCATTCTTTTTTGGTACCAGGGATCGAACTCGGGTCCTTGCACTTGCGCAGCAGGCGGCGAAACTACTGAGCTAAATCCCCAGCCCCGCATCTTCATTCTTCTTTTTTTTTCCCCCCGCATCTTCATTCTTTCTACATCTCCTGCACTTCCCTTCCCTCCCCTCCCCTCTTCCTCTTGGTTCCCTTCCCATTTGCAAAAGATCTATCTTCCTGGGTCCTATTATCTATCTTTTATTTACTCTTTAATTTACTAATACAGTGGACCCTCAAGTTACAACTGGCCTGATATACAAACAACTTGGGTTACAACCAGAATTTTAGTTTTAACTTACAAAGACTTGATTTATGACCCAAATGCTAGCTGCTTATGCTTCCAGATGGTCTCAGATACAGATTTAACCCTCACAGAGCTCTGGAAGGAACATGACAGCATCCTTTCCTGTGTGGGGTTCACTGAGAAATCCTCGGCCAGTGTCTCTCTGAGGACACTGAGATCTGCCTGTGTACAGGACAGAGACTGTGAAGGCTGTGTAGAGGAGCTGAGCCTTCAATTGACCAACTTGAAATACAATACAATCAGCCCTTGCGAACAAATTGAGTTCATAAGTCAAGGATCCACTGTATGTTGGCCTTCTCATAGCCACAATTGCTTTAAAAATTACTACACATTTTATTCTACCTCAGCAATTCAACCAAAAACATTTTTTGTATGACAAATAAGCCTCAAGAGAATCTATGAAATTTCTGATGGTACCTAAAATAATTAAATAATTTGTATCAAGCATTATCTTTCCCCAATCTTTTTCAGCATTTACTCAACGGGCTGTCTGAAAAGCAAAATATTTCACAAAAAAATTTGTCTTTACAGACCTTTGCTAAATAAGACTTAAATGAAGTGAAGTGATAACAAATAAAAGTAAACAGAACCCTAAAAGCACAACCCTGAAACAAATGAATGAGGCCTTTTTCTCCTGACACTGATTTTTCTGATGTCGAAGGCCCTTACCCTGATCCAGCGGCAACTTTGGTTCCATCCCCATTGAAGACCACGTGGTTGGCGTTGGTGGTGAAGCGTGTGAGAATACCGTCGGGAACCCCTTCCGGAAACGTGTGCACCTGGACGGTATTGTTAGAAACCGCAGTGACCAACCTTCTGTTCTGAAAAAAAAAAAAACAAAGGTAAGAAATATCAGCATAACAAATTCAAATCCATCCAGAGTATTTCCATAGTTAAAAATCCCATAAAAAACAAAAATTCTTATAAATGTAGTTCACATCAAGAGAAAAATCATTACTCAATGTACAACCTTCCTGAAATGTCTATTAATAAGAACTGGCGGGCCGGGGATTTAGCTCAGTGGTTCTGCTAGCTTTAGAAAACCTAATTCTCTCTACCAGCCAATCTTTTAGCGTCTAATTTTTCTTTTACCTATGGTAAGAAAAATATTTAAGTAGTATTTTTATAGATCCTAAATACAAAAATGAAGGAAACTCGAGAGCTTATCAGAAAGAAATGAGAGAGGACGTTAAAAGCACACCTAGTTGGGCCGGGGATTTAGCTCAGTGGTTCCAGTGCCTGCCTCACAAGTGAAAGGTCCCGAGTTCGATCCCTGGTATCAAAAAAAAAGCACACCTAGTGGCAACCATCACGTTACCCTAGGCTTCTGAAATAAAATCAATATGTCTTTTGAACTAAGATAAAGCCAAAATGGCTGAACGGCGTGTCCATAAACCAACAAGGTCTGCGGACTGTCACCACCACAAGGACCTAGAAGACAAGCACGGGACAGATTCTGTCCACAGCCTTGGAAACAGCCAAGACTACTGGTAGGACACCTCAATTTCAGACTTCTGGGCGCTTGAGCCGAGGGGCAACAACTCTAGGGTCTGACGCCACCAGGCGTGTAGCAATTTATTATAGCAGCAGTAGCAAACTGATAGGAGGTTTCCATGACTTCCTTTCCTTACAGTCTTTTTCACATACAAAAGCAATATGTACTTACTGTGGGAGAAAAAAAAATATCAATGTATCCTGAGCAGTGAGTTCACTTACTCTTATGAAGTAATCTCCACTATCATTTTGGGGATAAGTCTTATTAACCCTTCTACACCCATGAATATGTGTGTGTGCACACACGTGTGTATGTGTGTACTTTTAACAAGCATAAACATCTTTTCAGTAAGGATATAGTTTTTTTTTAAATGGCTGCATAGTATGGCTTTACCAAAATTTACAAGATGCCTTCTTTATTGAAGGATGAATCCTCAATTGTTTCTTTTGCTATTACCATATTATTACTAATATCCTTGTGCACAGGAATGTGAAAGTGTGTATTTTCCTAAGGAAAATAGCCAGAAGTGACTTGCACACCCTAATTTGCATACATAGCATCAACTTGCTTTTACCGGGGAAAAAAATACCCAACTGTTTAATTTGCAGTACTTTATTAGTGAGAATTACCTTATATTTAGTACATATTTGGCATTAATATCTTTCCTTTCAGGGAAGGTATACTTCATTATTTTCGATCATTTAAAGAAGAAAATCTGAGGGCCAGGGATGGAGCTCACAAGCACCTGCCTCACAAGTGCAGGGTCATGAGTTCGATCCCCGATACCAAAAAAAATTAAAATTAAAATTAAAAAAATAAAAAAGAATATCTAGAGTATCTGAAGACCTTTTCATCTACCTTAATTAGCCTAAGTTTAGAAAAAGTATTAATCCTGTGGGAAAGACTTTTTCCGTCTAAATAAAATATACTCAAATTATAATTCATCACAAATAAAAACCTTAGCAGTTTTTAGATATTTAATTTCCAAAATATCTCTGAGAACATCTTCAATTTGTAAGCAGTCTATATCTCATTCCCATGCATGTCTCACACAAAACAATCAAGTGAAACAGCCCTATTCTGTTGAGTAATGCCATGAGTGACCTAAGATAGTGTCTGAAACTTCTTTGCTGCTGGAACAGTAACAGGCTCAGGAATTTATAATGAGCAGAGATCTACTCGCTCATCATTTTGGAGCTGGGGAGTCCAAGAGCAAGGGACTGGCACCCAGTGAGGGTCACCTTGCCATGTCATCCCAGGGAGAAAGAGCAAAGAGAAAGAGGGCCCTGACAATGCATTCAGATGGGCAGGAACAAACCCACTCCCACAGTGAGGCACTGACTCACCTGAGGGGGCAGAGTCCTCCTAGCCTAACCCATGCCCAACATCAGTGTGGCTTCTGGGGACACACTGGAATCAGCATGAGCTAAAAGTACCACCGGGGTTTCCCACAAAGAAAAAAAGGGAGAGCACATTAACCTTTCCTAAGACTACAACCTACTTGTGTATATTTCAGCTCACTACTAATATTCATTGATCACCTTCCATAAACCATTCATATTTTACCTTTAAAATTCTGGGGCAAGTCATGGCATTTTTATACATTTTGGAATACCATAAGAGAAACAACAAAAGACACATCTATATCCAAACTTCTATTAAAACCATTTTCACCAAGCATAAAAAGGACACGCCCGTACATTTCACAATTACCTTCAAAGCACACGAATATGCCTTCTCGCCAACGCTGATGGACTTGGGATCGTCGTCATCCAAGTCTTCCCAAATCCGTACGTCGCCATCACTTCCACAAGTCACAATACAACTGTGAAGGAGACACATGCACGAGAAGTCACCCATTTCTCTGCAAATTAAGTTTTTGGGAATACTACCCTGATAGGTATTTTTAAATCAAATTAAAGAATTAGCCAATATTTTTTCTCACTTTATACAAACAACTCTTAATAACAAAGACTGCTAACTTCCTATTCTACAAAATGGAGGTGAGCTTAAAGTTTTATACAGTTCTTCCTTCACATAAAATTATTCACTTGTAATAATAGGAAAGATGAATGTGCAATCTCCATGGCAACGGGGACCATGTTTCCCTTCCTCAGAAATCCATACCACCGGTCTGACATACAGCAACTTTATTTTGTGGCTTTTATTTTTTAGCGAGGTTTTACATTTATTATAAAGGTAGGAAAACAAATATGTTCTGCAGAGTGAGTGTAGCCCATTTACAAGTAGGCTAGGCCTCCTTACCAAATAGAAGAATAAGAATTGGTCAAAGAAGCGAAAAGGGTAGCATGGTTTATTAAAGGCAGGAAAAGAAGCACACTTCACAGGGTGAATGTGGGCCAGTTACAAGGAGGAAAGAAGTCCACTCTGCCCAGAAAGAGAGAACACAGTGGAGACACAGCGACTTTAATAAGTGTTTGCTGAATGAATATAAGGCTAGACACCTGACTCAACTGTCCAGAGGTGATTAGAATGGCTAACTGTATCTGCTGTAATGGGTTTTTGGTTTGGGTTCGCAGTGCTAGGGATTGAACCCAGGGCCTTACACATGCTAAGTAAGTGCTCTACTGCTGAGCTCCACTCCCAGATCGCAAATGGTTTCAAACCTCTACTCTGCCCAAGGCTTTTACTCATTCAGTGTATGCTGTATCTGCATGCATATAAAAAAGCAAAAACAATAACATTAACATGGGTTGTCCCCATTACAGAAAGAACTATTCAAATTGGAGAAATGACACCTATTTTCCTAGCATGTCATCAGAGGTTCTAAATAAGAAATCACTCGAAGGCTGGGGTGCAGCTCAGACATCAAGCAGTTACCTAGCATGTGCAAGGCCCTGGGCTCATCCCCAGGCCCACTCACACACATGCACACACAAAAACAGACACACGTACAAAGTAACAGTGCTCTTCTGCTGCCTCTACACCCCAAGTACTGGCCTTACAGGTGAGTGCCACCATGCCCGGTTTAGAGCTCTTTCTTTTTTTTGGTACTGGGGATCGAACTCAGGACCTTGCACTTGCAAGGTAGGCACCAGAACCACTGAGGTAAATCTGAAAATCCTTTTTTAAAAAAGTCATAGCTTTCTTTTAGGTCGTGGATGATTTTTCTTCTCTAAGATGTCTCTCTCGCATTGGAAGTAGGCATTCCATGCACTCATTACCATTTCCATTCTATTGCCACACTCTGCCCTCTCTTAAAAAAGTTAAAAAGAGCCGGGCGTGGTGGTGCATACCTGTAATCCCAGCACTGGAGTTTGAGGCCAGCCTGAATTACATAAGGAGACCCTGTTTCAAAAACAACAATAGAAAAGATGGCGCCTCGTCTCCACTATGGTACCTATAGCCCCCAGCACAGTGGACACACATTTATATTTTCCAAGGAATCAGTCAACACAGGAATGGCAGTGGAAATCACGTATCTGGACAATACTGCATAGGTACAGGATTTAGAAAGATATTGTGTAAGAATTAAGGAGAGAAAATTCAGTTTTAAAAAGCCAGGAAGTTAGGACAACCACTGAATCTCACAAGCAGGCAGTATCTAGTGATCTGACAAAATTAATATGAAAGGCAGAGAAAACAAAAAATTTAAGAAAATGGAGGTGGGTAGCTTGCATCTTTTTTCTCCACTTTTCATTTTTTCATTAGTGCATGTTTGCAGTACATAACAATCATGTTTCTCAAGAGTTGCTACTTGTACTGAACACATCTTAATTCTACTTCTCCTTCCCCTCCACTCTCTCCATCTCCCTATTTCCTATTTTTTTTTTGTACCGGCAATCGAACTCAGGACCTTGTGGTTGCGAGGCAGGCACGGTGCCACTGAGCTAAATCCCTGGCATTATTTCTTATTTTGCTCTTTGTGTTTTGGGGGTTTTTTGTTTTGGTTTGGTTTTTTTGAGACAGGGTCTCCCTCTGTAATTTAGGCTGGACTTGGACTCACCGTGTAGCCCAGGCTGGCCTCAAACTTGCAGCAATTCTGCCTCAGCCTCCCAAGTGCTGGGATCACAGGTGTGCACCCCACCCCCCCGGTTGACCCTTTATGATTTTGATTTCTCACATAAAACACCTGATATTTAAGCTTGTGTGTCTGATTTATTTCACTTAGCATTATCATCTCAAAGTGCATCCACTTTCCTGCAAATAACTCAAGTCCATCCTTCTTTATGGCAGAGCAGTACTTAACTGTGTACAAATATCACATTTTCTGTATCCATTCATCGGTTGATGGACACATAGACTGGTTCCAAGATTTAGCTATTATGAATTGTGGTCACTTGCATCTTTCCAACGCCTCTGAAAATAAAACTTTTTGAAACTTTTCTGATAAGCTAACACATAGTCTGAAGCAAACAATGCTAAAGTATCTATGTGTCACTTTAGATTTCAGCGTTATTCCTGTCGTTTTCGGCGGACTGCATACTTGCTGTAGAAGAATAAATGTTCCACCATTCACACCTGAAACCGAAACAAAGAATCTTACCTGCCAGAGTCATCAAAACAGACGTCCGTGTGTCCTTCCGTGTGCCCGTACCTCATGGGCTTCTGGGTGGCCGGCATCTTTCCTTCCCCTACCTGAAAGCCAGACTCATCATTACTTTAAAGCCGAGAAAGGGAGGGAAGCAGGGAGGTGAGCCTCGCAGCCCCGTGGCCCCCACCCGAGGGGCACCAGCAGGGCACAGCGGACAGCCTGCCACGCAATAAGGGGGAAAGGGGCCAAGATTCTCCGGCAGCGGAGACTCACCCGGGTGTCCGAGCAGCAGCCTCAAAGGTACAGCAGGGACTGCCCGCCTACCGCGGCTTCCCGCGCTCTGGCGCGCTTGCCACGCTGCGCCTGCGCGGCGCCCCGCCCCGCCCCGGCGCCGAGCCGGGTCGCGGGGTGGTGACGTCACCTCGTGCCGGCCGCGGGGACTGGAACCGGTTGCTGGGGAAATGGGGGAAGAAAGGAGGGAGCAGGACGCGGAAGTGGTGGCTGCGCCTGGGGAGCAGGCGGAGGCGGTGATTGTGAAGTCGGAGACGGGAACCTTGCGTCGAGGGGAGGGGAAGGCGGGGGTTGGCAGAAGGGCATCCGCCTTCTAGGACCTGCACGCGGCGCGGAGCGGCTGGGCCTCCTTTCTCCACTTCCACGGTCGCCCCGGGTGATGGCGATGGCGATGGTGATGGCGGCAGTTTCTCCGACGGCCTCGGTGCAGCCGCGCTCCGGGAGGTGAGTGGGGGAAGGGAGGCCACTTCCTGGCCGTGTAGGCTGGGGTCTTGCCCTTCCCCTCCGGGCTGCCCTCCCGGCAACCATGTCCGAGTCCTTGAACGGATCCAGCCCCTTCTTGGAGCACGGTTAGACGGATCTTTGGACAACTAGGGAAAAACAAAGGGGGACCTGGTCGAACCTTTCATCTTAGCCTCCTTGATGCCCTCACCTTGTCACGTCTATAGAGATAAAGGTTTAATTAATGCTTACAGCTTGCGACTCTGTCGTTCTGTAGTTCTTTAAAAAGTAACTTGTACTTCCCTATTCAGAGCTCACCAAGAGTTCACCGAAGCGCATATTTAGATCTAAAAGAAGAGCTAGAACTAACTAAACTGTATTGTTGAGTGCTTCATTTGACACTTGGCATCTTAGTCTCGGCCTTCAAGTTTACGCTTTGTGTCTTCACATTCTCCGAGTTGGTAGACCGGTCTCTGGTGAAATCCTTCACAATGATACTCTTTCATGAGTATTTATCTTTGAGAAGTTTGCTGGGTTTTGTGGTACCCACCTTTCAATTTCGATCAGTTTTAATTTACTATCTAAGAGACGTTTTTCCGTTGTAGATTTCCCTTTCAGTCTAGTTCCATTGTGAAAAGTTGCAAGCGCATTTAGACCTTGTTCTTGGCTTGGTGTCACCGTTTGAGGCGTTGCTTTTAGTATTAGGGCTCCACATAGGCTTGCTTAAAACTTGGGTTTGTGCATGAATGAAAAGGAAGGATGATTGGCTCGAAAAGAAATTAAGGATTGTGGGAGGAGAATCTACTGTTGATTTCCAACAAGAGGAACAAGAGGATTTGAAATGACAATATCTGAGTAACCTAATTTTATTTAGAGGTCATTCTTTTTGGGGATAGACTGATTTATAATTTTTTTTTTTTTTTTGCCTGAGTAACTTAGTATTACTGGAGAGAGTGGAGTTCCACAGGAGCTCTGATGATATTCATTTCTGTTTTGAAGAAATAATATTTTAGTGTAGTACTATTCAGAGCTCAGGATAAATATCTGAAAATTGAAACGAGTTACTGCTATAAAATACTTTAGATTCATCTGTGATACCAGGTGACTTTAAAACTATGAGTGGTGTCCACTCATCTGTCCTTTCTGCCTTTGCAATCAAAACATTTGAATCATAGGTTAAAGAAAAATTTCCTTTGAAGATTTCAAGTGTATGAATAATTCTAGGCTTTTTTTTTTTTTTTTAATTTTTGGTACCGGGGATCAAACTTGGGACCTTACGCTTGTGCGACAGGAGCTGGAACCACTGAGCTAAACCCCTGGCCCTCTAGGCTTTAATTTTAACTCTGACACATTGTGTGACCTTGAATATACTTCTGTGCTTTCCTAAATGTCAGATCCCTTATCTCTGAGTCGGAGCTGATACTTAACTCCATGAGATTGTTCGAGTCCATAGGTGATACTTCCACGGATGTATAAAACTAAGTGCTATTCATGTCTTATATGTTACTAATGGAATACTTTGGGCAGGTACTTGGTGGTTTCATTTAAAGTGGAATTCAAATCATTACCAAGTAAAATTTTTCAAATATTAAAAGTCATATCTGGGGCCAGGGATTTAGCTCAGTGGTTCTGCCACCTGCCCTGTAAGCACAAGGACCCAAGTTTGATCCCCGGTACCAAAAAAAAAAAAAGTCACACCTGGGGCCAGGGATTTAGCTCAGTGGTGCCTCACCTGCCTTACAAGCACAAGGTCCTGAGTTCAGTCTCCGGTACAAGGAAAAAAAAGTCATACCTGTGCTTTTGTAATATAACATGTTTTCACAGTTCCATTTGTTTTGGTCAGATTCCCACAAATGTTTAATGCCCTCCGTGAGTTGCTGGTCCTGTTGAAAGAAAGAGATGTTCAGACCATACGTACAGGCTGGCACTGCAGGAGTGAAGCCTGTACTAAGGAAATAATGTATCCAAAAATTGTCTGATTATGACAACATAGCTTTTTTTTTTTCTTTTTGGTACCGGGGATTGAACTCCGGTCCTTGTGCTTGCACAGCAGGTGGCGAAACCACTGAGCTAAATCCCCAGCCTGACAACATAGCTTTTTAAGATGAACCCAGTGTCCCTGATGGGTGTCAGTTTTCCGATTGCATGCATTCATCATTAACAGCACAGGTCTCACAGGAGTGGGTAGCTGAGCGAGCCGGGAATGATGCCCTGGTGGGACGAAGCTTAAATGCAGTGAAGGTTAGTTAGCTCTGTCGTGACCACTTCAGTACTCCTAGGCTTACAAGTAGTGTTGGTTTAGGGAATAGGTGGGAAAACTCAGAAACATCATCATTCTACCAGCGGTGGTGTTGTCTATATAAATAAATACTACGAGAATCCTACAGTTTATCGGAGAGAGTATGTTGGTATCGCCTTAAGGAAGGAGCTTTGTTTTTGTTTTGTGGCACTGAGGATTGAACCCAGGGCTTCTGCATGGAGCCACATCCCCTTCATCTTCAGGTGTCCGAGGTGTGTCTTTGTGCAGATTTTCTAGCCTTTTATGTTGCCTTTTTTGGCCCCCTCTTTCCTTTGTGTTAATTTTGCCACTTGCCTGCTTCTCATATCTAAGAAAGTTTTTTTTTTTGGTACCAGGGATCAAACTTGGGACCTTGGGCTTGTGAGGCAGGCAGCGAAACCACTGAGCTAAATCCCCTGCCCAAGAAAAATTTTTAATACTGTGCTCATTTTCATTAATCTCAATGTATGTTATTTTTATACATTTTAATCCTGATTGTAAAAACATGTACAAATTTTACATTGAGAAAACAAGCTAAATGAATTTGTGGTGCAGTGTTAGAAGTAAACCCAGGGCCTTGTGCAGGCTGAGCAATCACTCTGCCATTGAGCTACATCCTCACCTCTAAAGGAGGTCTCAAAACCTTGTGCCAAGGGAGTGGCAGTGTCACAACTTTAGCTCCCATTGTACAGTTTTTACAGTGCTTATTTTTAAATATGGGATAGTGAAAAAGTGATTTTTAAATTTTTTAATTCTTTCTCTTTAGATTAAATTGGTCTCATAGAACAAAAGAGTTCAGCAAAAGTGTGAAAATTGCTTGCCTCTGGGTAATGGAAGTATACCTTTTTTCCCTCCTCAAATTTTTCTGAACATCCTATGTATTATTAAATAAGCACATATTGGTTGGTTGGTTGTTTGGTTTTTGAGAAAGGGTCTCACTGTGTAGTCCAAGCTGATCTTGAATTCACTATGTAGTCCAGGCAGGCAGTCTTCCTGCCTCAACCTCCCAAGTGCTGGGATCTCAGGCTTGGGCCACCACACCCGGCTTCTTCCCTCTTTTTGGTGGATGCCAACCCAGAGCTGTTCAGTCGTGCTAACTCACATACTCATTGCCTGACTTCTTGTGGTAAGAACATTCAGAATCTACTTTAGCAGTTTTAGAATGTGCTATGGTCACCGTGAAATGTGAAAATGCACTAAAACTTATTCCTCCACAGAATATGTATGAAACCCTTCAGTGGCGTCCACTATCAAACACATTGGGAAATACTGCACGATCAAACTAATTGGAAAGGAAGCAGGAAAAGTAGGGCAAGGGGAGGCCATGATGGCGTTAAACCAGGGACTCTCTGCTTTTTTATTTATTTTTGTTTTGTTACTGGGGATTGGTAAATCCCCGGCCCCAGCTCTTCTTTTTTAATTACCATTACCACAGTTAAAGTCTCATAAGACTTGGCTATCTCTTTAAAGGAGATATTTAAATATTTACTGGGAAATTGATCTGTATTGTTTTTGTGATGAGAAATATATGAATTTTTAAAAATTCTAACCATTTTTCTCATAGGAACAAATCCTTTTTCTTTTCTTTTTTTTTTTTCTGTTACACTCCAAGGAATTCATCTGTTGTCTGCCACCAAATAAATTCCATTTGTAAAGCCTAAGTATTTCTGTAGAATGCAAATCAAATATCCCAGACTATAATGAGAATGCTTTCAGGGAGTTTGGGGGCACATGATAGCAGGTAAACCTGGAATTTCGGATTCAGTAGGGAATGTCCAGTGCTGAATTAATACCAGAATAATGATTTGTTTGTGAATTTTTTGTATAGTGTGTTGGATTCTTATAGACCAGATTTGGTTCAAGTTAGTATTTACATGAATTCTGGCCTTAGGTGTTCACCCGCATTTATAGACATAAGTTCAATGAATAAGTAAAAATATATAATATTTGCCCCACAAGCGCAAGGACCCGAGTATGATCCCTGGTACAAAAAAAAAAATATATATATATATATATATATGTGTGTGTGTGTGTGTGTATATATATATATATAATACTGTGTTATCCAACATCTTAGAGATTACAAAGTAATTTTCCAAATTAACTTTATTAAGTTTTAGTTATTTTCCCAGCTTTATTCAACAGAACTAAATATTACTTAACTCTTTTGTTCCTGACAGTGCCACGTAAGACAATGATTTTGCTATGCTTTTCATTGCAGTTGGTGGTAGAACCAGGAAGCAGATGGCCACTGAATTTGCTTTCTTGAAACAGCTTTTATATAAACTTGTGTTTTAGACATCTTGCTCATTAAGAAATGATTTTTTTAAATGTCACTGTTACTCCCCAGAGCATTGTAACTTAGCTCCCTTCATAAAAAATTAAATTGAATCAAGAGCCAAAGCAGTGATTCTTTTGATCTCTCTTTTAAAAAGCTTCTTTGCAACTGCTATCAAAGATCTTAAATTTGGTGCTCGCTTGTAATCCCATTTACTTAGGAGGCTGAGACAGGAGGATCACAAGTGCAAGGCCAGTCTGGGCAAATTTATGAGAGCATGTCTCAGAACAATAAAAATAAAAAGGGCTGGAGTGTGCTTAGCTCAGTGGTAGAGCCCTTTCCTAACATGTCAAGTGCCCGGGGTCAGTCCCCAGCACTGCAAAGAAAGACAAATAAATAAATAAAATAAAATTGCAGGAATTAATGATAGGCTATTTGGATGAGTCA